TATATATATATATATATATATATATATATATATATATATATATATATATATATATATATATATATATATATATATATCTTTCCATATATAGGGTTCTCATTTTAATTTACCCTCTCCAAAAACTTTTTTATTTTTGACATTAGAAAAAAGCTTCATTGTGGACAAAAGTTGTTTGATTTGAAGGGGGATTTTCTAATGTGAGTCATGTTGTAGATGTCGTTTTCAAGAAATTTTAAAAGCGACAAATTTTTTAAATGGAATCTCACTTTTTCCTTGATTTTTCCTAGATCTCATCGAGACGTTTTTAAAATATCTCTCAAAATTATCTTTTGTATAAGCCGTTCTAGAGATATGAAGTTTCAAGGTTTACAAGGCCATTTGCTTCACATATATTCGTGCCAAAGGTTTCAATGATTGTTCCAAACTCATATCAGTTCTAAATTTCTATCGGTTTCGAAAACATCTCGACGAGATCTGTAACTTTTATCTCAAGGAAAAAATCAGGTTTCATTTAAGAAAATTTAGTCATCTTCAAAATTTCTTGAGAACGACATGACTCACATCGGAATCACGTTTCCCCCTTCAAACAAAACAACTTTTGTCTGAAGCATTTTTTTCTACGATCAAAAATAAGTTTTTTTTTGCAGGGGGATAACTAGAATAGAACATCTTGTATAATATGTTTGCAATAATTTTATATAAAATTATGCCGGGATTTTTTTATGTATTTATTCTTCCTGTTATAACAAATTTTACGATTGACGTACGGCTGATCGATGTTTTGCTGCACCGCAAACACATGTGTTCAAGAGCAATTTGACGCGCAGGACAGATCGGTGCATTTGTCGGTGTTTTTGTAATCCCTATCAATATATATGTAAGCAACAACTCGGTACGATAGTTCTTAACTCTTTGAATACTGGCTCTTCTTTTCAAGGCAGGATATGCGCGATCTTTGTAAATATAGTCGTCCTCCATTTGTAAAAATGCCAAAACATGCCATTTATAATGGAATAGTGGTGGTGGGTAGGAGGGGGGAGGAATCGAGACATCTCTTAAGACTCCTGAGTTCTCGTATCATCCATCTCTTTTTAACGACGTTAGAAGTGAAAAACGTATGCTAAAAATTCTTGTGAAATACGTTGAGATAAAAAAAATATATCAAAATGACACTTGCGATCGATTAAGTACACTTCTAAAATATTCCGTACACCTTCTTTTTGTTCTAAACAAAATAAATAATCGTAAAATTAATATACAAATAATAATGAAGTTGAGTTAAAAAAAGGTTGCATGTCACGTTAATTTTATGGTTATTTATTGATTGTTAGAGCAAAAGGAAAGTGTTCGGAATATTTTAGAGGTGTGCTTAATTGATTGCTGATGTCATTTTGTAAATATATCTTTTTATCTCGACGTATTTCGGAGGAATTTTTAGCATATGTTTCCTCGCTTCTGACGTCATTAAAAAGAGACCCAGGAGCTTTAATATCTCTCGATTTAAACCTGTCTAACTCGCTTTTCCGTTAGAAGCACTCACATTCGACACTACATCATTGTTCAATGATCCTTCGAAACGCCTTCGCAAAGCGATGACTTTAAAAGCGAATATGTTATCATTCCCCGAAGTTACTTTCAAAAAAACTAGAACTATGAAAATGTGAGTGCTTTCAGTTAAAATGAACGCGATTATTACTAGAAACTAGCTACCAATTGAGCGGATGAGTAAATTTAAGATAAGAAACATTTAATACATATTACAAGGATATCTACAATATGATTCAAATTTATTTACCGCTATATTTAATTAAAAAAGTATTATCTATATCGATGTGAGAGAAATGTAGCTATTTTTGAAGATATTTTATAAAAAAAAACGTTAGAGATATTTTATCAGAAACGTTCGGAGGGAAACGTTACGATACTTTTTTCATAAATAAATAAATAATTATTACAAAATTATTATTACATTAAGACAAATTTTGTCGTGTTCACTATTTTAATTTGAAATTAATATTTCGTTATATAAGATCAAAGTTTTGACTCTCGTCTGATTGCTTGTCATTTCACTTTATTGACACATCTTGGGGGTCATTTTAATTGTATTAAAAGTATTTTTGTGTCACTATTGTAATTATTTTGTATCATGTAATCGTTATTTGTCTCACGGCTAATTTTCTAAACGAAACGAACGGGCGAAAATGTATTTGAGCGTCAGTATTTATGGCGTGAAAGCGAGCTAGACGAAGTCTAGCTTTAGTATGGTGATGATAATACAATCACCTTAATTATTTTCCCAAATAGAAGATAAAATTCACATTTAGTCTCTCGACGTTCAAAGAGTTAAAATAAGAAGTAGAAACGATATATGGTATAAGCGAAATGCAGGCGTGACAAATGCAAATAATATACAATAATGATGAACAACGTACACTATCGTCGGATAATTTTTAAGTATAATACAAATCGAGAAAACCAAGGCTTTCATGAGGAAACTCTCTTGAGGTTTACTCTCACGGATGGGTTACTTAACGCTCTGTCGCCGGGTGTTCTGCACATGCATCCATCGTCGGCAGCAGACAGCTTTTACCGAACACCGCAGAACACTCTATGACTTGCGTGTGTGTAAAAAGCATGTTAATATAGATTTAATGTAATATCACACAATTTTATACTAGCAAATTGCGCGAAGCTGTTCGAGCTGCGCTAAGAAATTTTCTGACATTAGTGTGTGTGTATATATATATTTATATATATACATAGAAATCAATCATTTTTCTGAATTAGTGGCAGCTTAAATGCATAGTCTGAAGTAACAATTATTAAGGCGTTAAAGGCGACAAGGGCGACAACGCGAGAGAAGCAGCGTATGACATTCCTCGTGTAGACACGTGTAACTTCAATAGTACGTGTCACTTCGCGGTCTGCCACGTGAGAGTGTCGTTCGCGTATAACAATTATCGTTCCGAATGTACGAACGCGACGCATGACTCTCGCGCGACAGAGCTACTCTCACCACTCATTACTTGTGCGAGTTATTTGCGGGAGCAAATTTGGCAGGAATTATCGCTGTGTGTATTTTATACATGATGTACATTTAAGTCCTCGGATTAGAAATCGGGATTATGCCTTATTACTAGAGAGACAGTGTATCATAAAAATACATACATATACTGTGTGTGAGAGAGAGAAAAAAGATAGAAAGATAGAGATCCAATTAATCTCGTATCGAAAGAACTCTTATCGCGCGTGTACATTTTGCCTGTGTACGTGAAATGAGCGGGTGAAAGAGTTGATGATGCTTTTATAATAAAATCACACACACATACACAGACAATATAATTGCGGTAAGATGTTTTGCGATGACGAAACAATGGCAGCAGCATAAAAGTGGTACGAGAAAGAAAGAGAGAGAGAGAGAGAGGAAGAGTAAATTATCACACAGTGGATATTATATAAATAAGTGCTTCCCTCTCTTACAATTACTATAGCAGGAAAAGAATTATTACTATTATTATTACTATTATTGTTATTATGATTATATGATTATAGATTATCATTATTATAATTATTGATACCCTTTATAATAGAAAGGGATGTAGATAAAACGGTATTTTTAGCATTTATTTTATCGTCAGGTTGTGTGTATGTATCGATTATGCACGGAATCGACGCGAGAAGCGAACTCTCCTGCTCAATCGAACATCACCTGTAAATCGTTTATGGATTCGCTGTTAATCGTGTAATTATGGTTATACACGGATTACACATATGCGTAGATTAAGTAAGGGAAATTAATCGTTATGCAATATTCCACGATTAGCCGGAAGAGAAAGAACGAGAGAAATCATTAGCATTTGATTATATTTTACTAACAATGAGATACAAACACACACACACAATGCATATCCTTCGACGTAAATGTATTAATTACAGAATTATTGTCAGATCATAATTGTAAGCGGTAATTAATATAAAATATTATTTTTACGTTAGAGACATAATTATGTTTACGCTGATCACATCAGAGAGAGAGAGAGAGAGAGAGAGAGAGAGAGAGAGAGAGAGAGAGAGAGAGAGAGAGAGAATTAAAGAGATAAGTTGTTATTTTTCAAGATTTAGTTTATTTTTGCTGTACGAATATGATATTATGATATTTCGAGTTACTCATCACGGAAATATTATTATTAATAATTTCCCTCCATTACGATGAAATAAAATTCAGATCACCGAAGTAATTATTTATATGTACATATACGTATATTGTGAGGAGAAGAAAAAAGAAAAGTGGAAAGAATATATTTATCTTGTCGCTTTTTAATAGCAATACGCAGACGGAAAGTTACACGAGAAATTGAGGCGCGGGTGCTAGAAATCGTTTCGAGTGTTTAGCGTTGAGAAATTAAACGTTATACACAAACACACATTGTATAAGAATGGTTTTTATTATTTGCCTTTGTATGAGAAATTAGCGGGCAAATTAGCGAGATCAGACGAGTCTGAATCGATTGAGGAAGCAATTGATTATAATAGAAACCATACTGTTATTGTGTGAAGAAAAAACAAGAAATTGAATAGCGTTATCGTGTTGTGTTTTATATTTTGCTGTGTAAAATTGGCTCCAAGAGAGATGGAGAGAAAGAGCGAAAGAGATCGTAACGTCACGGAAGAAAGCCTTCACGCGAAATGTGTAATAGAGACTGAATTATGTAGAGGCCAATGCACACAGTTGTCCTTTACACTTTCCATTATTTCTCAGCATTTTATATGAGAAGGCGTTCGACACATATAGACAGGGATATATTTTTCAAATGCGAATGATATATTGTACAAATGTGAAGAAAGAGAGAAAGGCAGGGAGAAAGAGAGAGAAAGCGAGAGAATGGAAGATTGTAGTCAATTCAATAGGAGAATCGTCATCATTGATTAATATTATAAAGTTATTAATTATGGAAGGCGTATGTACAGTTTAGTATGTTATAAAAGGACTTTCTGTAAAATACGAGTGAACACGAGAGACTTGTGAGGTCTCGCAAACTCGTAGAAATGATTATACTTTCCCTACTAACTTGCGCGCGACTTTCGCGATAAAATTGCAGTACGAATCAATGTTTTTGTTTTTGTAATTCACATCACACACATATACTTGTGTTATTTACGCGCGATAATATTGTTTACGGTACGCTTCGAGAATTTATCTAACACTTTAGAGTTATTTGAGTGAAGCAGGACGAACAGCGAATCTTTCAGCGAGTTTTTTCTTATAGTGAATTTTTGTCGATTAATTCTCGTTTTATATGATATTTGCAATTGAATTATCTTAGAAAAGATGAATGAGGAAAAATAGTGATTATTATTGCGCGAAATGATTGAATAAAGAGACTCGGTAAACAGTAACATATGTTCGTTGTGACTGTTTAGCGAGTGCTTTCTTTTTTATCTTATATACGCAAAACAATCGAGCCATTTCAATTTTATAAACTTGTTTTCTTTACGTTGATTATATAATAAGAGATTGTATATATAAATTTCGCAAGAATTGATTTTAGATTAGATTGAGTTAGAAGATAGATTAAAAAATAAGAGAGATATGTGTGTGTATGTATATATATGTATGTATGTATGTATGTGTATATATATATATATATATATATATATAACAAATATTATATATATACATAATATTTGTTATTTTGCGATATTGAAAAGCGAAGTATCTGAAGACACGTAAAATTCGGATAAAAAAAATGTGCAAATAATCAAGAATCTTTAAGGAATGTCTTATTACGTAACGGATACTTGAAGTTTTCACGCGTACTGCTACATATCAATATTAATCGCGCGTATACAATATACATGTACATATAATCCAGAATACGATGTAACGTTCGATTTCGTAAAAAAATTTGTATTACGCATCAACGAACAATTATTAGTCCTCCAAACATCAATTGTGACCGTGATAATGTGCTGCTTATAATATTTATACGCAGTCCGCGATATTATCGATTCTCGATCGAGACTTCACTTAGAGACCGAAATCGTTTTATTGTAATTATTGTTTAGATATTTATATCTACTTTACAGACTTATCGTTATTAAATGCTAATTGGTGCTGGTGTTAACATTGATTGTTGCATCTTTTTCATTTATACCTGTTGTTATAATTACCTTTTTTAATCCTGCTCCTTTTTCTCGATAAAATCTCGAAGAAGCGACGGAAAAGTTCCCATTAAAGAAAAAAGTGCAATTCGGAAAAGAGTGCGAAATCGTTCTCTTCTGGTTCGTAGCTATTTCTCATTTCGGAATAACGACGTAATTTCTCGCGGACTTTTGCAATATCAGTATGTGACAACGCTCGAATAAGAACTATACACCCATTATGTCAGGAGGTCTTTAGAGATTTTTTTATTATTCCGTGTAACATTCATTTCATCAGAGCGTGCACTACAGCTTTGGCGTTCAATGACTTCAGATCCGTGTATGTCTGGCCAGTCCCGACGAAAACGATAGGTTGACCGGTGATGTAAGTCATCGTGATCGCCGCACCGACCTGCGTAGAGAATAATAATGTATTTATCGCGTTTAAACAGGAATATGTTCCTTAATGAATATAATCATTATTTTATATATGTGGAATACATCAATTTAATAGAATAAAAATATAATAATAAATAGTGAAAATATTAAATATAATGATAAAATATATATCATAATAATATAATAATATATAATAGTATATAATAATATAATATATAATAATATATAATAATAATAAAGTATAAATTAATAATAGTAAAAAATTTCTGATGGAATATGCACTTACTTTATCGTCGATCGTATCGAACTTGGTCAACACGATACCATCAATGATATGAGGATTGACAGATTGGCTGTAGTCGGCCAGTGCCTGATTGAACTTCACCAGCTGATCAACGGCTTCGTTGCCTACCAGGGCCTCGCCGACGAACAGCACCAGGTCCGGCTCGTTCACCTTGATCAGCTTCGCTAAGGCACGCATGAGCGGTTCGTTGTCCTGCATCCTGCCGGCGGTGTCGACCAAGACGATGTCGAACAGGCAGTCCTTGGCGAAGCGGATTGCCTCCATGGCGATGCCAGCGGCGTCCTTGCCGTAGCCTTTCTCATACAGCTGCACCATCGACACATTACCGTGCTTCTCTGGCGGATGCAGCGCGTTTAGATGGCGCATGTGCGTCCGCAGTTGTTCAACCGCACCGGCTCTGTGAACGGCGAGATCTTATCGTTAGTTCGTACAGTGAAAACCTGTGCCTTACGTTATCGAAGAACGTGCGATACACGAGGTGATGAGTAAAGCGTCGATTTACCGGAACGTGTCACACGCGGCGATCAGCACACGGAAGTTGTTCTCGATCAGCCAGAAGCAAATTTTGGCCAGGTTCGTGGACTTGCCGACGCCATTCACGCCGCAGAATGTCATCACGTACGGCCTGCTGGTCTTCTTTGCCTCCAGCGCGTCGCGCAGAATATCGACTCGCCGTTTAGGGGACAGTATCTGCACCAGCGCGTCGGTGAGAGTGGCCTTCACGGTGTTCGCCACGTTGTCAAAAGTACCCAATACCTTGCCCTCAAGCTTCGTGCCCACGGAATCGCACAGTTTCTGTGCGATGTCCGCGGCAACGTTTTTAGTAATCAGATGGTCCTTCAGCTTGTCCAACACCGGCGCCATGTCGTCGCGTTTCAACGATTTGCTGCCAACCAAGCTCTTGAACATTGAGAACATGCTGCTGCTTGTTGTCTTCTTCTGCGTCTGTTGCGTCTTGGAGCGTTCCGTCGCCTCCCAATCGGAATCATCATCGTCGTCGTCCTCGGACTCGCTGTTCACCTCCAGGTCACGTATGCCGCCTTTCATCTGCCCAACTAGCTACAGGAAGTGACGAAAGTATTAACTGGAGTAAATGATAATGGCATTTGTGTATATGTATAAGTTTGTCCGAAATGAACTTTAAATTAGGCTTAAATGGTAATATTATTTCTTTCAGCACTGACTTAAAGATTTACTTACTTCTCTTCGTTAGTACGAACAACTTTAACGCAATTACTTTTTAATTTGTATATATAATCGTTACTTCCCATATATAAGAAACAACTACATAGAATAGGCGCTAGCAAATAAAAAAAAAAAACAGTATGATAATGACTTAAGTAGCACAGAGAATTTAAAAAGAATTCAGTCGTATATTACCAATTCTGAGTTCATCTTCAAATACAAAAAGAATTCTTCAGAGTTCAGTTCAGTGAAAAGAATCTTTTTACATTTAAGAATAAACTCAGAACTGGTGACATACGACTAAATTCTTTTTGAATTCTCTGTGCTATTTGGGGAAATATTTTTCAAAATGAGTAACAATCGAATATTCGAGTAAATATCGAATTTCTTGCAAAACTGACTTTTCTAATCCTGCTTTAGGTAAACATAAAAAAACAAAGAAAACATTACAGTTGTATCGGCCGGCGTGTAATCGCTGCCCTCTTCGGGCTTGTCTTTGGTTCTCTCCAGGGTGGCGAGATCTTTAACAGTCCCACCGAGTTCCCAAATACGTGGTTTCTTGCCAGCTTTCTCAGGTTTCTTCCTGGCAAAATCATTCGATGTCAGGTAAGTGTAATAAATATAATATAATACATAATGTTAAATTAATATACGGAGTGCTTACTGTTTGTCAGCTTTCTTCTTTTGTCCCGCCATTTTCTGAGCGAGTTTTATGCGGTTGGCGATCAATGTTTCCTCGTCAAGCTCCCCGTTGTGAATAGCTTGTTGTTTCAGAGGTTCTTGTTTCTCTTGAATCTTTGCTATTGATAAAAGTATAACATATAACAGTTATAAACAATCCTAATATGAAATACGTTAGGTAAGAGAAATTTTGCAAAAATATCAGTTAATTTTAAATGTGCTTAGTTTCTCGTGTGGCATGTTTTATACTTTATCATTGAACAAAGGGGAAAAAATAGCAAAGTTAATATTAGAGGGTAAAAAGCAAAGTAGATAGTTAGGAAAAAGTTCAAGCGTTACTTACTGTGATTATCCTCGTTATAATTAATCCCCTTCTTCTTTTTGCCTAGAAGCGAAGAAGAAAATCCCCATTTCTCGTTATTGTTAGCAAGAGAGAGAAAAAGATAGATTACTATGTAAATAAAAATAGCTTGTAATATTCTAGATTACATCTCAAAAAAGAAGATTATGCTTATGAGCTTCCCATAGCCTTATGGTGTAAAATCTTTGTTTTTTCATAAAAAGATATTTTTAAAAAGTATAGAGGATAGAATATTTTATTGCCAAACCCAATTACCAGAACAAGTTAAGAGTTCACTTCCAAATCCTGTTGAACTCTTTCTTTAACCCTTTTAGTCCTGGCATACCCTTAAGAACATGGCACATATAATGTCTAAAAATAAAAATATTTCGATTGCCGTGTATGTGTATGTGTGTGTGTGATTTGCGTCATTTAACAAAGTGCTTTTGTAGTTATCTAATGACAATTTACTAATCTTGAAAAATTCTCTTTATAAAATTAATTAAAATCCTTTAAATTAATTTTATAAATCCTTTAAATTTATTAAAATCCTTTTTCCATTATCAAATTTTCTAATTTTCCGTAATAAGATTTCTTTAATTTTTTTTCTTGCGGAAATCACTTTGCGAATAAATTTTTCGAAATACTATTTACATCTACAGACAGAGTTGCCTGGAAAAATCCAGTGGGTGGAGAAAATCGCAGTAAATTTCGATTAATAGAATAAACTGATAAAAACTATAAAAATGACTAATATATTTATACAACTTTATTTATATATTTATGTAATTTCATGTAAAACGATATTTTTAATTAATAAATCATATTAATCCCTTTGATTAAAAAAACAAAATCAATATATAATAATATGGGTCTTTTTTAATTCAAATTAATATATAAAATACACTTTTAAAACAAAACTTTGGAGATATGCTGCTAAATTTTATATTAATTTTTAATGAAAAAATATAATAGTAAATAATGAAAAAAACATAATAACAGAATTAAAAATTTTTATCAATATAGATCTGGTTCGCATTTACCATTCAACATCTTGTAACAAAAAACTAATTTATTTGCTATATCGATTCTTAATTTATTACCGATTTAATTTTAGGAGTAAGGGGGATGAAGCTAAACACTTTCTCAATTGACACGGTACTCGTCAGACAGTTATGTAAGTGCATGACGAAATTAATAAAATCTGCAGGAAGATATCTTTATTTAATGCTTTTTATCACGTTCTGATATTCATATATTTTTGGTTTGTTAAAAAAAAAAAATGAAAAATTTGGAAAGGTTTCAGCGTCTGCTTGAAAGAATATAATTAACATATTTTTTATCATTTTTAATAGAAAAGATTAATTTTTGCCAGTTCTTTCCGGAAAATACCGATTTTTATCACTAGCGTGAATTTCATCCAAAGAATGTGGAACTTTGTCGACTCTGTTTAAACAGAATGCACCTCTATTAAAATATAATATTTAAACATTAATCTACCAAAATAATACTAAATTTTTAAGAACAAAAATTCAAGACTTAAAGAGTTAAGGAACGAGGACAGGAAGCGGTTTGGAAGCGTTTCAGTCATGCCAGGCAACGTGTTAACGCGAATCTCCTCCGCAGCGTCGAAATTCGTTATATTTTGAACAGCAGCCGCGTCACAATACGTACCCGGTTTCTTCTCGTCCTTGTCGTCCTTCCTCTCGATCATGCTAGCGACCGTCTTCTTGGATTTCTGACTCTCGTCGAAGGTGCGCATTTGCTTCGGCAGCTTGGCATGCGCGCGGGACCATTGCTCGGCCCGCTCGAGCACCAGCCGGTACTCAGGCTCGAACTCGAAGTTGGAGAACCAACTGGCGTTCTCGAGCTCGTTCTTGAAGCGGTCGCGGAACTCCAGGTGAACGTCATTCAGAAATTTGTCCACGTACGACAGCTGCAGTATCTTCTGATACGCCACCACGAACACCAGCTCGAACTCATTGTCGAGTTTGTACTGCAGACGCAAGGAGTCGTGCTCGAAGCTGTGATTGCCCGTACGTTCCTGCAAAGAGCTTCCACCGTGTATATTTTTGAGGAAACGCGAGAACGTCGCGTCAGGGAACTCTCCTAAGCTTTTAAGCAAATTGACTAATTACACTGATCCAAAAAAGTAGAGTTGCTTTTGTTACATGGATCAAAAGATATATGTAGTATCTTTTACACTGAATTAAAAAATATAAGCAGATTTCTCTATCATCCCGGATTTTTCAGCGATGTGATTTGGAAGTTTCAAGAAAACTGACTTATTTTATATAGGGTGTTTCCAAAAAACCATTCAGCATTTATATGATAGATAATACACACCATACTGAGTAAAAAAACCTTAATGAACATAGGTCGAAAGCTCAATCGTTTCTGAGATATAAATATTTTTGTATGTTAGCATCATGAATGACTTACTGGCTTTACAGAAGGTGTTTCACATGTCTTCCTTCTATTTTCATACATGCTTGGCATCTTCTTTTTACAGAGTCGCGAACTCTCTTGAAAATCCCAGGTCTCTGTCGAATTATTTCACAAGCACGCTGGATTCGGTCACATATCCAGCAATCACCGGTTGATGACATCTGACTGATTGCCAGTGAAATCTTCTGTTATGAAGTATGTACGGAAATTGAATGAGAACATACAGAACGCGGTTTATAAACATTGAGATAAACATCATATACGATATGTATAAACCTAAGTCATTCATGATGTTAACATACAAAAATGTTTATATCTCAGAAACAAGAGAGCTTTCGACCTATGTTCACAAAAGATTTTTTATTTGGAATGTGTGTACTATCTACCATATAAATGCAGAATGATATTTTGGAAACATATATACAGTGTATACAGACACCTAATTTAAAATGTAGGAGTTGGTGATTTCCTGCTGTATTCCCAACTAGCACAGAGAATTCAAAAAGAAATAAAAAAGAATTCAGTCGTATGTCACCAATTCTGAGTTCATTTTCAGATGCAAAAAGAATTCTTCAAAGTTTAGTTCAATGAAAAAAATTCTTTTTGCATCTAAAAATAAACTCAGAATTGGTGACATACGATTGAATTCTTTTTGAATTCTCTATGCTATCTGGATTTGGTTTATACTATGTCTCTCTTCAAAAGAAAAAGTGTATCAGCTTTTATTGTATCTTATTTTTTTATTATATCTTATGTATAATTCGAGAAGATTGTGTAAAAAAGAAAGATTGTTAATCTTAATGATTTTTTAAAGACAAATGTATTGCTTACATGGAGAACTTTCACTACTCAATATAGAGGGAGATAATATAAAAAGAATATAAAAGATATTTAGAATTGGAATTAAATGTAATATAATATTATATAAAAAGAAATTTAGAATTGGGTTGCAGTATATCCATTACAATATATTAAATCTCAAGGAAAAGTGTGTGTGATGGAGACATTCTGAGTTCATTTTCATATTTCACATATAAAAACACATAAGAAATGCACCAAAAATTCCAGGTGATAAATTACCTTATTATTTTCAGATAATATAAGACATCCTAGAATTATCTTAGACATGTCCAGGATATCCTGGAAAGTGTCCCAGGATGTCCTAAATACATCCAAGATGATTTTTGAAAGTGCTGTGTTATTTAAGTATGATTACATTTAATATTAACATTTATTTAACAAAACATTTTCTTATTTGGTGTTTTTCAAACATTTATCAAGAACTTCTTACTTTTTACTTATATTCAAATTTGCTACAAGAATTTCATAGAGAAGTTATAAATATTCTGTACCACAACTTAATACATCTAATATTAATATTTATTTAATATTAAGTTATGGTGCCGATTTGTCATTTTTTTAATTTTTGTAACAAATTTGAACATAAGTAAAAAATAAGAAGTCCTCAATAGATGTCTAAGAAAAACATTAAGTCAATGTTTTATTTTATTTATAAAACTTATTAATTTTTCGAAAATGGATTTTTTTACTTTACATAACAAGTACCAGAAATCTTCCACACTAAACAAATAATTGATACTGCCGATATTAAAAAATTAATTTCACAAATTGAACTCCTTATCTTGAAAAGAAAGATAAAATAGAAAGATAAATGAATTTTAGATCACATTTAATCTCTTTTAATTTTATATTTCATTTTATTTGTTTCACATTTAATAAATAGGAACGAAGAACTTTCAATAAGACAGCTAGAAGCTATTTATAAGATAGCTATTTTGACAACTCCAACCATATGGTACAATTAAACCATAGCTGTTCTCCTTTTACTCTGCATATGCATTTTAAGAACTTGAATCCGTACAAATGCTCGTATATATTTCTTTTTATTTCTTTAATCAAACGCAAATTTTTCCGTCTGATCTACTAATAAATGAAAAACGACGATGTTAAAACAAAATATAAAAAATGTGTCATCAAAAACGTTAGAGGTAACATTATGTGGAGACATGATGTGTTGTGACATTTAAAGGATAAGCAACATGGTTTATCGAAATGGTCGATCGAATAATTACAACGCAACAGTTCGGGGAAGTGATGAGAACGAGTGAATCGTCAAGTAATTTTTAGGTCAAAGGTCGGAAACAATAACATCGTGACAGTGGGAAAAGTGGATTCCGATACTTACTTGCAATATGACACTTCTTATCAGTGCATTGACGCTGGGCGCGAAGATTTGAGACGTGCTCTGGAAGCACCAGAGCACTATACCGCCCTTGCTGAATATCGTGAAGAGATCGAGCATGATTTCGCGGGACGATTCGACGAAAGAATTATACTCCTCCGGACATGTACAACACTACACGACTCGACGTGTTACAACCTAACCTAACATTACAATTTGCTGAAGTTGCATTCCGATGTTTATTGCTAGTATTGAAGATCTATAATATACGTGACATGAGCTATAGATTTTCAGTACTAGCAGTGAATATCGGAACACAATCTTATGCCCGTATTCATAGTCAGGCCTTATGGAGGATTCACACCGCGTCGATGTCCGACATACGACGTCCGATATTCGATAAAAGAACAGCTTTTCAATGGAGAATTGAATTCTATATTAGAAAGCTGTTCTCCTATTGAATATCGGACGTCGTACGTCGGACATCGGACGCGGTGTAAATCCTGCATAAGTCCCGATCCACAATAGATATAGTAAGCTTTAAGCCTTAAGAAATTGACCAATCACAGTTAAATTTGAGGAGAATAATCGACTGTGATTGGTCAATTTCTTAAGGCTTAAAGCTTACTACACCTATTGTGGCTCGGAACTTAGCGTGTCACGCGTCGCGTTTGCCTGCGTCACGAGTTAACCAATCAAATCATTCCATTGGAACAAGTGCGTCATGCGTCGCACATCGCGTCATCCCTTTTAGCTCTTACAGAAAAACAACATATTGATTGGCTGTCGCGCAGACTTTCGCCGCAAGCATTAAGCCCGTATCAGACTATCGACTGCACAGGCCGACCCGACTGCCGACTACGACTGCCGACTCTCAATGGACCAATCACCGAGTGAGGCGCCGACTCGGCGCACGTTCGAAGTCCTTGTTAGCAATCTAGTTTAGTATAGACATCTGTGGGCACAGAGAATTCAAAAAGAATTCAGTCATATGTTATCAATTCTATGGCCGGTATTCATAGTCGAGTCTTATATTAAAGATTGTCTTAAGTTTATCTTCAGATACTCCGCAGCCAATGAAATGATTCATACATCATCAGAAGATAAACTTAAGACGGTCTTAAATATAAGATCTAACTATGAATACCGGCCTATGTTCATTTATTGGCTGCGTTCGTTTTGACGCTTATAGCGCGTATAAACATTTTATTCCTTGTTTAGTATTTGATAGAAACAAGGATGAAATGATGCTCAGAGCGTTGTAAGCGCCAAAACGAACGCAGCCTTAGATGTAAAGAATTCTTTTCACTGAACTCTAAAGAATTTTTTTGTATCTGAAAATGAACTCAAAGTTGGTGACATGACTGAATTCTTTTCGAATTCTTTTTGAATTCTTTCTCTGTGTTATTTGGGTAGATATTTGGCTTAGTTTACATCGTGCACTGGATACACGTACTAAATAGTAACTTTCTATTAGACAATCTTAATATCAAGAATATATATAAATAATGGTATATTAAGCTGGTATAATACTCATCAACAAAACGTATTGTATTGATAGAATGCGTCGCTGTTGATATGCATTGTCGATATTAAGGATATCTAATAGAAAGTTACTATTTAGTACACGTATCAAGTGCATGATGTAAACCAGGCCATTGAGTCTGTTCCTGCACTGCTGAACTGGTGAATAAATTAGAGTGAGACAAGTATATTTTTTCTCGCTCTAACTTATTGCACTACTTCAGCAGTGCAGAAACGAAAAACAAATCTCTAACCTAAGTTATCTTCCAAGATTCTTCTTAAATAATATGAAGCTAATAACTTTGCGCGACATAATGTTCCTCGTAAGAACCTCACATTATCGATCGGCTGCCAAATACTACTTTGATCCATCGACGTCGCTGGCGCTGTCGCAGATCTTACGCGCTCAGTCGAGTTTTGTTCGCGTCACCAGCGCCAGCAAAATCTCGCTCGCGTGTGACGTACGATTTCGCGTAGCGCCTTGCTTCCGCTGGACAATCGCGTATGATCGACTATGGATGCTACGGATATTCGTTTAGTTTGTAAGTAACACGCAGCACTCTCGATACTTATTTCGAACAATGAGCCGCGTTAAGTGCCATACGGTCTCGCGATCGCAGGAACAGGCGAGTTTATTCTCGGAAGAGAGCAACTGCGCGCTTTTCATGGCGGCCGATACCGTGCATGCTCAACAAGGCGACACAGTGAAGAAGCGTCGCTTCTCAAATGTTCCGTATTCCTTTCGTGACGTCCCGCTGCATTAATAACGCACGACGATGTCTCGTTGAGAAAGATACATCGCGTAGAATCTATCGATGGCGGATCGATGACTCGAAGGATTCGTAGATAAACGAAAAACGAAGGTTATACTTTTGCACATAATTCTGCGGTCCTGAAGACGTAATTCGTATTTTTCAAATATTATCTTCACTTTGTATATTTCCAAAGTATTTTTCATTCTTTGAAGAATCACAGAATCAATGAAAAATCGTACAGAATTGGAATTAAAGAAAAAAGTTCCAAGACACAAAATTCTATTTTGCCATATCTATTTCGCTTATACGTTGAGGTGATATGCAAAATCGATAAATATACATATCTTCGTATTCTTTCCCAACATAACTTTGCCTCAATAAATACGTTGCTCCGCATAGCAACGATGGGAAAAGAGTGAGAGAGAGGGAGAGAAACAGGAAGATAGTGATAGAGTTTTGCTCACCCTCGCGATCGCGTTCAGATCGATTAGATCGAGAGACGGTTGTGTATTGTTAAGAAATATTTTGCAACTACGATCGCGAGACACTAAATGGTGAATTTTTGTCCGCAGGATGTTCAACAAATCGCGGTACAATCGACGACGTGACAAGAAGAGGCACGAGGAAACAGGTACAGAATGTGCAAAAAATTTTCACTACAATCACATACTTGTACGATTTTCATGAGAAATACGATTTCAAGTGCGAAAACGATGGTATCTGTTGGTGTACTTACTCACAGTGTCTTTTTGTTCACTCAAAGCAAGTAAAGATAGCACCTGCGTATCTTACCTCTTTATAGAAATAATCTCACACAAAGAAGAAGAATATAGTTATATTTGAGGTCTATTGATGTATATTATAGGTATATTATATATTATATACATATATTAAATATATTTTAAGAAATATATTTAATATATAATATATTAATTATATATTGCATACAATATATATATATATATATATATATATATATATATAAATAATATATTAAATATTATATATTAAACAGGGTTGGGTAAGTGTGTGTGTTATTTTTCTTTTTTCTATTTTTCTTTCTAACTAATGCATGTTTCTACCAATGTCAATTAAATTTTAATCTGAGTTTGTCTTTAGCTGAAGTATTTAAACTCAAGTTATGAGGTCTGTTCTTTTCAACTGCACTGCTATACTGGTGCAATAAGTTAGAGTAAGACAAATATATTTTATTTTATTTTAACTTATTACACTAGTACAGTGTGTAGATGAAAAAACTGACCAAAAATTTAATAAATTTTGTAGGAATGGGCATAAGTTTCAATTTGATGTCCTAAGCTGAAATAATAAATGAGAGTAAATATATATTTACTAAGTATAAAGCAAAAAATATACATATATTTTAAGTTGTGATAACTTATAAAAGTAACATAGTTAAATTAAAACAACATTTACATAAATGTAAATTAATTTAAAGTTGAAAGTATAAAGTTAAGTTAAAATTAAATTAACTTATTAAAGCTAAAAGTTAATTACTTGAAACAGTATGCTTTTTTGCATAAGTAATTCTTAAGTTATAGGTTAAATTTATATGAACAAATGAAGGAGGTAGTTTTTTTATAAGAAAATATCGTTTTGTGCTAGGATTCAATGCAAGAAAAGCCATTAGTACTCATAGAAACAAAGAAAAATTCTGTTGGCATTATTCTTTTCTTATACTATTTGTAAAAAATCTGGAATGATTTTAATTTTAATAAATTATTTTAATTTCTCTGAAAAAATTAATAAGTTAATGCATTAAAAAATAATTAGTTTAAGCCAAAAGTCGACTCATTTTGAATTGACTGTCAAGTTAAAAGTTATTAATTTCCAACTGATTAACTGATTAACCAATTGTTACCTAACCCTGATATTCATGTATGTTGTGAAGTGTCTTGAATATGTTTTAATGAAAAGCATACATATTATTCTTATATATAAAGATATTCTTCTTTGTACACAGTTATATTTGATAAGATACACCAGACGTCTTGTATGCTGTTATATTGTAATAACTTGTTACATGTGATGTCACATATGCAGGATTATTCATATTCAATCTTACATACATACAAACAAGGTCGAAGATCTTGTGAATATTGTAACAAAGTTGAAGATCATAGGAACTAAGTCTTAAGCTTGATTCACAATGTATTTGCTTCCTGTTTCTTTATCTCTTTCTGACTCATACCTTAAGCCTTAAGCTTGATCTACAATGTTCTTTGCTTCCTGTTTCTTATTTTCTGTCTTTTTTTAGTTTAAGGTTTAAAGCCTAATCTACAATATGCTCTTTGCATTCTGTTTCTTGTCTTCTGCCTTTTCTGGTTTAAAGTTTAAGGTTTGAGTCAGAAAGAGGTAAAGAAGCAGGAAGCAAAGAGCATATTGTAGATCAGGCTTAAGGCTTGAGTCAGAAAGAGATAAAGAAAAACAGGAAGCAAATAACACATTATAGATCAAGCTTTAAACTAAAAAAAGACGGAGAACAAGAAACAGGAAACAAAGAGTATTGTAGATTAGGTTTTAAAACGTATACGACGTTTAGTACACAATTTCCAGCCTTTCATATTGCATCTGCATATAAGGATGAAAATTGTAGAGAAGGTCAATGAGTGTTAAAGCATACACGACGTCTGCTGGACAGTGCGTGTAATTCACTGTATATCGACGATGTTAATCACGAAAATTGGCCATTTCTCGTACTGTACGTCAATCGACTTTGCATCAACGCTACACGCGTCCTTATTTATTCGCAACGACAGTACAACGAATATTGCGGATAATACACCGCGCTGTGCGAGCTAACGACACTCGAGAGCTATCGACGTCTCATTGTTTATTCGAAGCGACGGAATCTATAGCAACACCTAAGGCTTTATAACAACTCAATTATTTAAGCTGCCGAGCGATCTTTCGCCCGTTCGATTTCATTTACTGCCAATACTGTGCGAGATACACGCTGCCCTTCTATCCCACAGTGTAGACTCGTGGTCGGAAGAGTTGTCTGATTTCTATTCTTCTTGTCCAGTAGGAGTATTTATTTTCCAATAAAAAGGCTTTCTCATTGGGCAAGAAGGATAGAGGTTCCTAGACTTACAAAAAAAAAACTTTTTCGACCACGAATGTATATATCTGCGCGGCGTATATATCTGTGATGTATATAATGTAAATCAAATGTGATATATATATATATATATATATATATATATATATATATATATACACACAGAGTGTAACTAAAATAATGAACAAACTTTAGGGAGAAGTTCCCCACATCGAAACATGAGAAAAAATTCATATCAACATATATTTGCAAACTCACTGTTACTGAGATACAGCTCAGATGTTTATTAATACAAAAAGTATAATATTGTTTATTATTGTTTTTAGTTTTTATAATTACAACAAATGTTGTCTTCTATTTGAGTCAATACACGCCGATAGATTGTCGCGCTCTTGCAAAGATCCCGAAGCGGTTGCTAATGGTTTCATAAGTAAAAAATAATCATAGATCTGATAAATAAGTTAGACAAAAGCCGATAAGCAATCGCTCCAATTGTAAATAATAAGTTGCATTAATAAATATTAGTTTAAACTGTATCTCTTTCTCTCTCTCTCAGTAAAACAGTGAGTTTGGGATATATATTGATATAAATCCTTTTTTATGTTTTGATGTGCAGCTTATTTCTCCGGAGTTTGTCTTCTTATTTTAATTACATCCTGTAAATTATACGTATGAATATATGAAGTAATTTCAATAATACGAACTAAGGGGATATTTTGCGGTTGATAATCGGAAAATGCATTGAAGGAATGGACGCTTCGACCACTTCTTTCTGGCCGGCAACCGTGAGAGAAGTGTTCTCCGTTTGAATTACCAAGTCTATCCTGTATGTTTGCACATTACTTGCCTGATGTATTCATGAGAATTGACAGGAAATCGCGGATATTCCTGATTCTGAATATATTACAGAAGCTGGAATCTACTGAGTAATTTGCACTCCGAGCCATACGATCGTTCCTGCTTGCTGAGAATAGAGCCCTAGATTTACAGAGAAGTGACATTGGGTGTTTACAATAATAGCTTTCCAAGTAACAATTTCTGTAGAACTGAAATATGTATGACATAGACAGTCATCCATTGCTATCATAATTTATGATAAATTAATGATCTGGTAAATGTCACGAGTTGAGATAGTAAACAGCGAGACGATATTAGGTGGTACTTTCGTAAAATTTTACTGTTACATTATAAAATAACCTCTTATTGATTTTTATTAATATTACATTTATTTAATGAAACTTACAATTATGTAAAATTATTAAGTATTTCTAAAATTCCTTAATGAAGAAATTCGATCTTATTTACGAAAATTCTTTTCATATAATTTTTAATTTTTGATACATCTGCTTGAGTAGCTCTGTACAGAAATTTAGTATTTTAAAAATACTTGGAAATCTTAAATTATTATAAGTTTAATTAAGTACATGTAATTTTACTAAAGACCAAGAAAAGATTGTTTTGTAACGTAAAAGTTAAATTTTACGAAATTACTACTTGATGTCGTTTTTCACATATTTGCTTGCTAATTCGACTCGTGTAACGGACTATATGGTCTGTTCTTTTCAACACTGCTGCACTGGTGCAATAAGTTAATGTGAAATAAAATATATTTGTCTTACTTTAACTTATTGTATCAGTGCAGCTGAGAAGAACAGATCTTTATATATACTGAAGAAAGCCATCGAGGATTGGAGGAACACACAAAAACAGGTCTAAATAATAGATTTGGATATTTGGTCGATATCATAGAACATATATACATATCCGGTATCCGGTAATTCACAGAGCCGCGATGTACAGGTAGATTAGGTCAAACTGAACAAAAAATTAGATTAGGTCAAACTGAACAAAAATTTCTCTATATTGCGAACAACCGTGTAAAATCCTAAGTTATTAATTAAAGAAGTTTCGTGTGAAGAATAAACTCATATATTTATCGTCATGTATTTATCGTCATGATTACGTATCATACGGTAACTGTGATGACGATGTCTGCCGCTGTATGCTTGTATATTAGGTCAAACTGAACAAAAAAGTCCTCCTACCATTTTCCAAATGATCACGTAGATGTTTAGTTATTAATTAAAAAAATTTGCATATTAACACGCATAATTGCGCATATATCAAACTTCTTTAATTAATAACTAAACATATATATTGTTATTTAGAAAATGGTAAAGGATTTTTTTGTTCAGTTTGACCTAATATACAAACATACAACGGCAGACGTTGCCGTCACAACTCATACCGTATGGCGCATCATTCACGAGTCTTCTTTGATTAAGGGTGACGATTTTTAGGAATTAATTTTAACCAAATAGTTAAACCTACAAAGTTAATTTTGTATTGACATCTATTCATCTTTGAAGAAACATCTTAAATTTTATCAAAGCTTTTTATTCAAAATTGGAGAAAATACAAGTGAACGAAACAGATTACGCCATAAAATCGTCTTCCATCAGGCGTGTTGACTGTCGCCGTCCTCGTTGTCTAAAATTAACGAATTTGTTTTTATTTCGTATGTATGTAGCTATCGCCTGAACTAGAAACTTTTTGATATCTTTAAAATTATTATTTTTTCCGGGCTGCGAAAAGTTAGAATTTTTAAATAAATAAAACTCATTACTATTTTTCAAGCGCCGCCATTTTTTAGAATTTAGTTCGGGTGATAGCTACATTTTTTCATAAAGAACAAAATGAAAGCAAATTCGTTTATCTCAGATGACGAGGACGGCGGCAATCAACACGCTTGATGGAAGACGATTTTACGGCGTGACCTGTTTCGTCCACTTATATTTTCACCAATTTTGAATAAAAAGCTTTGACAAAATTTGAGATGTTTGTTCAAAGATGAATAAATGTCAGTATAAAACATTAACTCTGTAGGTTTAACCATTTGCTTAAAATTAATTCCCAAAAATCGCCTTGAAAAAACGGATCTTCACACTAGAATACCTCCTTTAATAACTCAAAATCTTTTACGTGGTTACTCGCAAAATGGTAGAGTAATTTTTTATTCAATTTGACCTAATCTACCTATACATCGCGGCTTCTCTGTGAGTTACTGGACATCTTGTATATATCTATGATGTTGATCAAATATAGCGAGTAGAGTAATATTCAATTAATCAATCATGAGAGAGAGAGAGATAAAAAAATTTTAGTTCTGATTCTTCTCTTTGTTCTGATTGGTCAATTAAATGCTATACAGAGAGAACGATTTGGTTGAATCAAATAAACATTTCTTTGGAATAGTCCAAACGAATTTTTGACTGATCGAACAAAATTTTGTTTGACGTAACAAAAATATTTATTTGCGGCTTAATTCTAAAGAAATATTTTTGTTGTGTCAATTAAATAATTTATTTGGACTATTCCAAAGAAACATTTATTTGATTCAATAAATCATTCTCTTTGTGTACTTTACGCGTTGAGTAGAATTTTGGAATGCAGCCCAGTATGTATAGAGTTCACTGAACTCGAGGCATTGAATTGTCATAAATTATAATGGTAATAAATAGTTGTACCTATCATATATTTCAGTCCTAGAGGAACTAAATCGAAGAGCCATTATTGTAAATACACATTGAGATTCGATACGTCGAAAGTCGCCATTTTGTATGCATAGTGATATGTAAAATTGACCTCAATAATTATTCTCAGTAAGAATATTCACCTCATGATTAGATAACAAAATTTCAAACGACCTTTTAAAGACTTCTTAAAGACGTCTTTTAGGAGTTTACGCTGGGTAGCTTGAATTAGCTCTATCCAGGATAATAATTAATATAAAAAAGTATTTCATTAAGTCGTGTGATATACTAAAAATATATATAAATTATGTAATATATGTGATATTTTTCGTACGTATACGTACATATAATCTATACGAATGTGATACAATCTAAGATATGTGTATATATATATATGTGTATTAAGTGCATATTCTCATCTACGACATAACAACGATATGATTCTACTCTGAATATTCAGCGCACATCTTGGCGCATTTTATCCGTTAACATTTGCAAGCGTAATTCGACCGAACACGTCGAAACGATGCAAAGATTTTGTTAACACGTTCGTCTCGACTCGCTGCAATACGCGATTGCAGGTACCGAAAGCATGCACCTTAAAAGAGACAGAGAGAGAGAGTCTTCCGTAAACGAAGTCTAACACCATCGTGGTCAGTCCTTTTGCTATGCCGTGCGTTGCATTCTCTTGAAACAAACATTGACCAAATTGATCATATCGCGAATCTTCGTCGCATGTCAGATTTGTGAGATTTTCTATAATGGCGTATGTAAATTTTCTCTGAACACGCAAAATAGCGTCCGAACGGACCGTAGCCTTTAAGAGGCTAGCGCTTGTTAGCTCGACCGAGGATTTGCGAAATGCAAAATTGGAACCAATGGCAGTTGTCAGCCGGTGCTGTTACGACTCCAGTGCCGCAGCCACCACTTGGCTACGCGGCGGCAGCAGCAACAGCAGCAGCGGCATCAGCCACGGACTCTACAACCTTGATGCAAAACTATATGCAATATTATAACCAACCGGTAAGTGCATATAATTTTATGTGTATTATTTTGTACATATGGAGTATACTTGTATATTTATATGGAGATATAAGTATACTCTTTTGTATACTCTCTCTCATATAGATATACAAAGTATCCCAAAATTAAATGTCAAAACTTCAAGAGCGTGTGGAAAATCGATAAACTAAGATAAAAAGCCTTTTAGAGATTATTCGTTTTTGCTTTGTTTTATAGAAAATTGCAAAAAATAAAAAAATAAATCGCAAAAAAAAATTAAAAATAATATATTTTTTTGTTTTTTTTTGTTATATTTTTAGTTTATCGATCTCCCACACGATCCCAAAATTTTTATATTCAATTTTGGGGCACCTTGTATATACTAATATACTTGTTATACTTACTTAAGTATATTACTTTGTTTATAGTACGTAGATATTTATCCACGTATAAATAAATGAAGAACGAATATGTAGAGCTAAAGGATTCACATTTCGCGTGCGCTCACGCGACTTTTAACAAAATTAATTTTATCAATATTAAATAAAATTTTATCTACATTATTTAATCAATAATGGAGGCAACAATCGCTTTGCAATATTGATATAATTATAATTGATAGGTTGTTGCAAAAGACAGGCTGAATTTCGGAAACATATTCATGAGAACAAATATATATATTATAACAAATAGATTGTAATACAAACCAATTTATTCCTTTATTTTTTTGTTAGGCACCTAGTGGATATACAGCGGAGCAATGGGCAACTGCACAACAACAAAATTGGAGTCAATGGCAACAATGGCAACAACAGTATCAGCAATGGCAAGCACAATACGGCGATAAGGTATAATGTACATAATGTAAAAGATTTTCAAGCTTTTATTGATTGTTTTTGCGTTTGTTTGATCGAATACGTTTAAAGAGTAGAACGATGATTTATATATGTTTTCAAACTGTGAACGTTAATATTAGATCGTTGTCGATTATCTGTTCCAAATAAAAAATAAAGAACAAGTGAAATTAAAAAGATTAGTCTCTATTTGGAAAGGTGATTGTGGATTTTCCACAGACGAAGTAAACATATTTTATACATACATATAACATTATACACAGGGTATCTGACTCGCACCAGAGCTAATATATAGCTAGAATAGGTTGGTGTGAGTAATGGAATCGGTATCTTTTTTTAAATAACCACGTAAAATTTCGAGTTGTTAAATAAAATAGATGGACTAATAAGGACGCGCGAGGCGTCAGGTGGGACGTACGGTTTGCCGCGACCGGCGAAGAAAATAGACGTTTGCTCGCGGACTTATTTCATAGGTCTAGAGATGGGGACTACATCTTAGATCTGACACTGCGTGATAGACCTGCGAGCGATCGTTCCTTTTCTTCGCTGACTGCGACGAACCGTATGTCCTGCCTGCCGCGTCGCGTGCTTTGATTAGCCCATTAATTTTATTTAATAACTTGAAATTTTACGTGGTTGTTTTAAAAAAGAGACTGATTCCATTATTCACCCCGATTTATTCTAGCTATATGTTGGCTCTGATATAGTGCGAGTCAGATACCCTGTATAATGTATAGAATGATTCTAAATAAGTACGAAAAATTTGAGGAGATAATTCTTTGTTCAGAAAATTAAGGGGGATCTTTCATATAAACATATACTTCTATATCTTATCTGAGGAGTTACATTTTTCTAGAGTAGGAGATAAAAATTAGGTTTTTATTTTTTTTAATATTGGAGAAGTTAAAAAATGGAATTTGCAAAATTAATGCAAAATGAGTTGCCAATCTGACAATCGCCTACTAGATAGTTTTAAATTCATTAAAAATGCAGTTCGATAGATTACTATGTTATGTATGATAATGTATTTTATTTTTATTACTTGAAAATTATTAGTTTCACAAAAAAATATCTAAAGGAGAGAGTGAGCGAGCGAGCGAACGAGCGAGAGAGAGAGAGAGAGAGAGAGAGAGAGAGAGAGAGAGAGAGAATAAAACTTTCTAACGCATATTTTTAGATAATTTTTAGATTTTGGCCTGTTAAAAAGTTCTAATAAAAAATTATATAGGGGTTACTAGTTTCATTTCCTTATAAGGATACGGAAAGATTAAAAAAATATTAATAAGTATCTTTTTTATTAGTGTAAAATGTCCAGATTTTATTTTTTAATTCTTCCAACACTTGAGAAAACAAATAAAAACCTAATTTTTACTTCTCTCTTGGGAGGAATATTCCTCAAGGCGGGATATAGGAATATATGTTTACATGAAAGACTACCTTTAATTTTCGACAAAAGGATCCCTTAACAAGATATCTTAAAGATATTATAAAATTTTCCACATTTATTTAGGATCATCCTATATATATCTAATAGTAGTCGTTGCTGAAAATTTCAAAATAATATCATTTTTGCTTTTAAGTCTACTTGACTAATTCGTGCATTGGATGGTCTTTCTGCATCAAACACGATAATATGAACGCGATTTCTATCGGATGTCTTCTCTTTTCAGTATCATGATACGATGAAGCATCTATCAGCGGCGCAGAACATAAATTTGGCAGCAAGCCAAGCGCCACTGCCGCATATGCAATTGCCGCCGCCCCTTCCCAAAGAGGATACAGCACGACCACCTCCGTTACCGCCCGCTACCACGAACGTCGCACATCAGTTCACCAATATGCCACCCCCGCACCAAAATAATCTGCCCCTATTCCCTACGAAAGAATCCGCTACGAGCGCGTTGCCGCAAGTAAGCGCGACTAGCTACCTTCCTCCGAGCCACCCGCAACCGCAACCGCCACCACCACCCCTGCCCAGCACGAGCCAGCCACAGCAACCGCCACCCTTGCCGCCCGAAACCGAGAGCAAGCGAGAGCTGCCAGCAGTCGGGCAGGCTGAGAAACGCGATAGTAATGCTAGCGCGGTCGATGGTGGTGAGTCCAATAGTGGCAGTAGTGCGAAAAAGTTGAAGCTCGATGAGGACGAAGAGCTAACCGAGACCGAGAAGACATTCGACGCGCAGTTTAAACAGTGGGAACAGCAGTTTAACAAATGGAAATTGCAAAACGCGAATCATCCCGACAAAGTAAGTGCCTGCAGGTACCACACGGTACACGGCATTTTCTTTGAGCTTTTTCAGATAATTTGAACTGTCCGAATTTTGCGATCAAACCTTCAAGTCGTACACAAACCGACATAACACAGTCTGACGTTTATTAGATTTATGATCGTTAGAATTTCTCAAGCACACAACGTTCCCTCGAATCACGATCAATAATCATAAATACGTAGACACGAGATACATGTAATCGAAAAATTCTGGCGACTCATAGTCTACTAAATTCTAAAGCTATTGTGCCGGTCATCGTTTATGATATACCGATCTCTTTTTCTCTTTCCCTTTTTCTTGGTGGTCTGAAAATACATTCGAACAGTTTGAGCCACCGGGACTGCAATGTTAAACAATACATATCGCGAAGCAAACGAAGCATAGTCGTTTGTTTTCCATTCGCGATGTATAATGCTCATGTTTTTCAGACTCAATACAAGCAATACGAAGCCAAGTGGACGTCATGGCGCGAGAAGCTGCTCGAACGGCGCGAACAGATGCGCAAGAAGCGCGAGCAACAGAAGCAGGCAGCCGCGACGAAGGCGTCAACAACTGCAGAACCAGACAAGAACAAGAGTGCCAGCGACGATAAGATACTCAACATACTATCGAACACGGAGAACCAACATTTGATCAACAACCTGCTCGGTATCGGTAAGAGTCTCGGCTTGACAGGAAAGCAACAGAGCGCTACTGCCGCTATACCATCTCTACCACCACCACCCCCGCCGCCTCCGGAAACTACAACTTCTGGCAATCAAGCTGAAACTGCTATTGCAGTTCAAGGTGTACAGCAAGTTCTGCCGCAGCAGAATATGGTAGGCTCGAACGTTGCAGTGCCGCCGCCATCTTGGCCTGTTCAGCAACAATGGGAGAACAACCAGCAGTACAACCCCCGAATGGAAGCTCCGAACTATGGCATGCCACCTTCCGTGATGCATCACCATCCTACGGCGATGTTTGTCCATCCAATGACGTCGCCTAACTTCACGCAGCCGCCACCAAGTTTACCGAGCAATAATACCGGTCCGCCACCCAACTTTTCACAGCCACCTCCGAATTATCCACCCAATAACAATAACAATAATAATCAAGAGCGACTGGTTGCGCTGCAGAACGCGCCGAGAGGCCCTGCGAGCGCGCAGGATCAACCACCGAACATGGATATGCGTTTCGCGCGCCATCCCAACGATCGCGGCAGCAACTTCGACGCTGGACAGCAGTCCAACTTTCCTCGAAGAGTTGGCGAGCCTCCGGACCATCGTTTCCCCGCGGGACGTGGAGATGGTATTGCCAACCCGAGTGGGAACGAGCAGGAGCAGTTTATGAGACCTGGCGACACGGCTTTCGCTAGACCGAACGAACCCTTCAACGACCGAATCGAGGCGCAACAGCAACGGTTCCGAAGGGGCGACCGAGGTTTTCCTGGAGACTTCGGGAACAACCCGCCCAATGGGTCGATGAATTTTCAACCCAGTAACGAGGGACGCTTCGGACCGCCGACGAATGAGCGTTTTGCTGGGGGAAACAATCGATTTGGGCCCGACAGATTCCCGCCGCCGAGTGACCGGCCGTTCGCATCGGAGCACGATCGATTCGGCGGAGTCGATCGGTTTAGCGGGGGTGAACGATTCGTAGGATCGGAAGCCGATAGATTCGCCAGAGGAAAAGAGCATACATTCGATCGACCTGACAATGAGCGATTTGGACAGAACGATCGTTTTGAACGATTCCCCGAACATAAAGATCGTTTCCCCCTTGCTGGTGATCGATTTGCGCCTAATGTGAATGAACATTTCGCAGCCAGTGATCGTTTTGGCAGGGGCAACAACCCTGGGGACTCTTTCGATCCGAAAGACGTGAATGATCATCGACGAGACGCTTTCGGTAGCAACTCCCGGCTTTTCGGTAGAAACCCTGTCTTTAGTCCACCAAAGGAGCTGCCGCCGGAGTTGCGGAAGCTTATGGAGAAACGAAAAGCTGCCAGTGACGTGTTCAAACCTAGTTTTCTTTCGGATCCCGAGAAACTCAGCGTCGGTTCTCTCAGCGAGAGCTTCAAGAAGATCGCCGGCGACTCGCCGTTCCGCAGCAGCTTTGACTTTCCGAAAATTCGTCCTGGTGGGCCGTCATCGATGAACAACTTTCCTTCCGTTGCCGGCAGCAGGACACCGCCTCCATTCCAACCCCATCCATTCGCTCCTGATCCTGCCACATCGCCGTACGGCCATCATAATCCGCGAGGCGGTTTTCCCTTCAATCCACTTGGCAACACACTTGACAATGAACCTCCGGTTTCACCTATTTCCGGCTTCAAACAAGGACCTTTTGTGGAAAATTTCGCTAAACACAATGTTCCCGTGGATTATAATGAACAGGAAACGGAAAACGGGAAACGGGAAAAGAATGCGGAGGGCGAGCTGCAGAATCCTAATCAACAAGCTCAACCGACTGATATTCAATCTCAATCTTCCGCTAATTATCGTTCTGAGAATCCTGAGGCCGATATTAATATTGATTCCGCGAATAATATGGAAATTGATAATGTTCAAGACGTACAAGACATGGAAGTGACGCAGCCGAAAAACGAAGTCGATAGCGCAGCTGTTGAACAGAAGGAAAATCTGAATGTCGAAGGAGACTTGCCGAAAGAAATTGACGATAATAGAAAAGCAGACGATATCCCTGATTTATCCGGCAACGATGATGGTTTTCAGGATAAACAGGAACAACAGGATAACAAAGACGAAGATAATAGTTCTGAGTTAAGGAAGAGTGCAGAAAACAATACTGATAACAAAGACGAGAACATTTCATCTAAGAAACCTGAGAGTTTACCCTTCATGGGTGAGAACGATCCACGGCCGGAAGACCTGAACATCGAGCCACCGCCGGAGCTGCCCAACTTGGGTCCTATTCGTAGCAGTCCAGGCTCCGAACCCCAGCATGTCGCTGAATCATGTAACGAAGCTTTCGACGGAAAAGGACCGCCAGCAGGTGCCCAATTCCACGACACGCGACCCCGGGGAATGGAATTTCCCAGAATGGGTCCATCCTTCAGGTTCTTAGGGCCACCGCCATTGTTTAATTCCAGAGGGCCGCAAGGGTTTCTGCTGCCGAGTCATGACAGTAACTCGCAACTAGGCCCCAGAGATGGACAGTTCGGATCTAACGCGGCTGGCGACGTCGGACAATTCAGTCCTAGAAGGCCCAATGAAGAGCAATACACTGAGCGAGGTCGTAATAACGAATCTTTCAACGAGAATTCTCGAAATCCCAACAGTGGGCAATTCGGATCTATGAACGAGCCATTCCCACGGAACCTTACCGGAAAGTTCGGCCAGGTCGGCCTGAGAGGACTTGTTGACTTGCCATTCGCTCCACGACATTCCAGCCTACTCGGGCCTAGGGGCAACGATATGCAGTTCGCATCACGAGGAGGACTCAGTGATACACATCGACATCCTGGCGACGGGTCGCAATTTAGTTTTTTGGGGTCCAACAACAATAACAGGTTCGGTAGACCCAACGAGACACTGCTTGACAGGCGACCACTGCCCTTTGGCTTTCCAGATGTACGGCCCAGACTACCTGTTTCAGAAGGACCACCGCCGTTCGGATCTCGGGGTCTCAATGATAGCATACTGAGTGGTCCTCGTGGCCCTCCTCCGGATACTTTTTCTCAAGGACGACGTAGTCCGAAGGCTTTCAGCGAGAACCGTTTTGATTCGCGAGATTTCAACGAGGGTTCCTTTGAATCCGATAGATCTCTTCCAGTCAGAGGCCCGATGGATGATCTGAGTCATACACGTGATTATATGCGCAGAAGCGGTCCCTACACCAGGAGAGAACAGTTCAAGAATGACACATTTGAGAATCCAGCGGCTAAGTCTGACGAACCGTTCAACAGAAATATGGGACAACAGAACACGGAGTTGCGGATGGATAATGTCGAGTATACTAGACGCATTCCGCCGTCACAAGATTCCCACAAGAAGGATGTCGATAAAAAACCATCTAACGAGGTTCAGTTCGAAGAGAGATCCAGGTTGGAGCCGAAGACCACAGACTTCGGTGACAATAACAACAAAGAGCTAACTGACCCCAAGTTCCACGGGCCCAACTTGTTCACGAAACATCCTCAGTCGATGTTGTCGGCAGGTGGCGGTTCAGGTGAGTTTTGCGCACCGCGGCAGTTCAATTACAATCACGGAGAGATCAGTGGCAGTAGCGGCGAGAAGAAGGTCATCGAGTATACACCGTCGAAAGTTATCGACTACGGGCATACGTCGCGGCCAGCTGTCGTCGATCAGCATCTATCATCTCCGGTTCAGTGCTTCGATTATGCTCACGGCGATTCGAAGCCGGTGGAGCACCAGCGGGATCAGTACCAGTCGAGAAAAGACTTCAGGAACTGGGTGAAGAACGAGCAGAGCATCAAAGATTACGCGGAGCAGATGAGCAACTGCTACGAAAACGCGAAGAAGGAACATGCCGCTGAGAAGGCGAAGTGCGGCAGCTATGACGCGCGCAGGTTGGCAGCTTCGGATTTCACGAAGCAACGAATGAAGGATCATCACATGGATTGGCAGCATCATCAAGCGAGCGATAGGAGAACCTGCGGAGAGTGGGAAACAAGGGAGAGCGAGGATCGCAAGGAGAGATCGTTGATGTACGACCCTCTCGAGGAACAGCGGTTCTTTGATCGCGACTCGAACGCGAGCGATGGTCAGGGCGACCGAAACGCTCGGAGAGGTAACTGAATATTCGTTAAACTGCGCGTAGGAAGTTCGACAATTGTAGCAATCGTTGCTCGAGATTCACAGCAGCTATCTCTGTTAATTTGTGAATCAAACAGAAAAACAGATACATTTTACAAATTTATCTTGACAAATAGTACAATATTCGCGCTAGAAAAGAAGTCTGAGAGAAAATTTGTATCATATTTCGTACCTGATGTAATATATATGTAGATCACGAAATATCGCGAGGTAACTGGTATTTTTGTAAGTTGGCATTTAGCTGGCATTTGTAAGCTGAGTGTGTTACAATATATTTGTTTTTTCGGGTACGCAGAGCGGATTCAAGAGACATGCGAGACTTCCCGAAGGGAAACGAATAAAGACAGTGATAAAGACGACAGCAGGTATAGTGGCAGATTAATCTTCATCTTAATCTTCATCTTAATTGTCTTACGGACAGCGAATGAAAGAGCATTCTCCCTTGTGCTTGATCTTTCATTTACTTATCAAGGGAAGAAAGTATCCCTTTATGAAAAAATAGTACTGGAACTTAGTATGGTCGAATTTAGTAGTACTTTGAGTTATTTATATCTCAGTACTTTCCCGTACTTAAATACTGAAACAAATATTCAAAGTATTATTAAATTCGACCATACAGAGCTTCAGTATTACTTTTTTTTGTAAAGGTCTCTGTGCAAGTGTGCTTCTAACGGAATATATTACTTTCATTCGTACTGATATATTGGACTAGAGCACACTATACAGCAAGATCTCTTCTTCTCCATATAAGATTCTTTCAGAAAGGATGGAGCGTGCAAGAGAATGTTGCTTTCACTTGCTGCGTATGTTACTGAGATCCCCAATACATCTCATGTATTTGAACGCATGGCTGCCAAACTATTCACTAGATCGATGCTTACTAAAAATTTCTAAACAGTCGTATTTGTCTCTACGTTTTTTATGACTATTGATCAATCTAGCAAGTACGAATGTGTCCACAGCCAATGTGACAATATTTTGACAGCTTGACGTTTTATATACACTTATGTGAAAAGGGGTTATCTGCTTCCATCTGATGCGTAATCAGTAGAGAAAGAGTAGAGAAAAATTTGAAGAGAGAGGTAAGTAAGAGATTATATAATTAATTTTGTAAAGGTAAATAGTTGCAATTAGTTATATGAACTGATTTGAATACGTAATCGAATTGTTTGCTTTCCCATATGAAGTTATATGTAAGTGGATGGCCCTTAGGGCCGATTTTTCAATGATAGTTTAAACTTAGATTTCAACTTAAACTCTGTTTAAACAAAATAAACGCATTGTTAGAATAGAGTTTAAACTTGAATCCAAGTTTAAACTGCTATTGAAAAATCGCCTCTTACTGACGCACACAAATTTAACTACGGAGCAAAATCAATTCTGATCATAACTAATCGCAATTATGTACCTTTATACAAAATTAATTGTATAATTTCTTACTTGCCTCTCTTTCTTAAAACTTTCACTTTTCCTCTATTGATTACATATCATATAGAAATAAATAACTCCTTTTTATAAACCTGTACGCGAAACTTCAAGCTGTCAAAATGTCACATTGGCTGTGGACACATTCTCGTTTGTTAGATTAATAAAAAATCGTGAGAAATGCATAGTTAGAGACAGATGCGGCTTAGAAATTTTTAGTGAATATTGATCCAGTGGATGATATGCGTTCGAATACATGATCCAATCGCAAAAAAATTGTGAACAATCTCGTCTGAACATACGTATGTGGCATTCTTCAGATCGAAAGGAAGTATTAATTGGCAGGAGAACTTGAACAAGAACACCGTAGACACGAAGCTACTAGACACCAGGTACGTGCCGCATGTATCCTCACTTTTCAAATTTATCATAGAGGTCGCGATCTAAAGCGATTTACCGGATAAATTTTCGTGCATGCACCGCACACAAATGCGTAGATGCATTCAAGATGTGCAATTGTTCTCTCCTCAAATGCGACTTTTTTGCACATCGATCGATTCTTATAACTTGTATTGAGACTATACTGGATACCGACATAACGCAGTTTCGTAGTTTTCTTTTTTCTTCGAATTTTCTAATTTTTCTGAATGCATTAAATTGAAAATGCTTGCACAAAGCGAAAGTACAAACATTTATCGGACGGCTGATGTTAAATAATTACATGAAATCGACAATAATTTTTTATTGGTAAATATGCAGTATAACGCTCTCATCTTGGATCTTTTTCAAACTTTGTAAATTTGTATATTTTAACGTAGAATTGATTTCTGAAAGCGAAGATTGTCGTTCATTTTTCGTTTCCTTTTTTTTTTATTTTAATGTTTTATGATGTCGGTAAATAGGAAAGTGATAACTTATAAAACTTTCTAACTTTGTGTCAATGTGTCTAATTATTCAAGTATTATAAAATAGTATATATAATTAAAGCAGAGAAAAGCATGTATGAACTATGCTCTGCTTTATAACAGAGTTTACACTTTTGATTAAATCCAAACAGCACAAGATCTCTGGAGGATGTTCTGAAGACGTTCTCAGGATGTATAAACGTTCTGAGAATGTTTTTAGGATATCCTGTGAAGATTTGTGCTGTCTGGGTTTAATCAAAAGCATAAAATCTGTTATAAAGCAGAGAATAGTTTATGCATGCTTTTCTCTGTTTTAATCAAATATACTATTTGATAAAACTTAAATAATTAGACACATTGACACAAAGTTAGAAAATTTTATAATGAAAGTTATCACTCTCCTACATAAAACATCTTTCCTACATTACTTACCGACATAAAACATTAAAATAAAAGAAACAAGAAAAAAAATGAGCAACAATTTTCGTTTTCAGAAATCAGTCCTAAAATATACAAATTTACAAAGTTTGAAAAAGTCCAAAATGAGAGCGTTATATTGCATATTTATCTTTTTATTTGCCGACTGATTCTAAAAAAGTTTCTTGTCGATTTTACACAATTGTTTGGCATTAACCATTCATTAACATTTGTACTTTTACCCTGTAAAGGCATTTTCGATTTGACGCATCGAACCAGAAGAAAAGAGAAAACTACGAAACTGCATTATATCAGTATCCAGCATCGCTCTAATAGCTGTTTCTTGAAACCTATTTCATACTCAGATTTGAATTTAGAGTTAATTGTGAGTTCTTTGGTTGAATTGAAATTATTCACGTAATGTCACATATATCATGTATTTTGACTAAAAAACTCAAATTCCTAAATTCGGATCTTCGGAGTGTTAAGACAAATTTCAAGCACGACTATTAATACGAGCCTACGTGTAAAAATATTGGTACTTTTGTACGTGGGATGACGAGTGTTTGTGTAAGAAATACACATTTGGTTTTGCAGAAAAGAAATTTGAATATTTTTCTCGAAGACGATAATACGTTAAGTCTTTGACATGTGCTATTCGAAAATGAAAATTGTGATTTCTATGCCGCAACACTACGATCTACATGAACTTGAAAAAGTTCATGTATAATATTCTTTTTAATAATGAAACGAAAACAAGAAAAAGACATCGTTTCATGATTCTTATTACGTATATTACAATTCTTATACGTATATGTATTAATCTGTGATTTAATCTGTGATAATTTTTTCAAATGTATATTTCTCTAAGTACGTTTTTGTACTTACGTGTCTCTATACACATGTGCGCGTGCACGTGCATTATTTTACAAAGCCTAGAAAATCATATTAATATATTTATTATATTTGAGATATTTACAGATTTTGAGATATTTATATGTATATACGTGCATTCTTTATGACAATCGAAAGAGTCCTTAAGTTTCGACGTGTCTTAATTTTAGGTACTCTTATTCTACTTTAATGTGGTATTTGAGTGAAGAACAGTATTTTTTCACTCCAATTATTCTGAGGTAATTTTATACCAGAAGAGAAAATTTTTTGCTATACGCGCAAAGAAATATATCGAATATATATTTGAATATATCGATGCAAATACAAATTATGCAGACCAATAGAAACACTTTGCGATGTTTTTTTTTCATTTTTGGTGTTAATTATCCCAAACAGATTGACGGACTGTGTGAATATTTCTCTTATCTACACTGTGTGTGTATGTGTATGCGCGTGTGCGTGCGTGTGTATGTGGTATCCCAATAGAAATGAAAAACATGAGGCGATATCGTGCGAATAAATTTTTTTGCTCGTTTTGCCTAAAACTATTGGATTTCAAGAATGATTTTTCGGGACACCTTGTAGCATCCAACCGCTTTTGGCAATGGAACATTCCTTTCTAATGTTCTATTATTACTCGCAATAAGGTACTCGTAATGTGCAACTTTATCACTGCATCGATTTTACATAGAAGAATATTTATTCCATTTGTATAATGCATTTTTCATATTTATATATTTTACACGACAATTTATATTTTTATATTCTCGCTTCGAAGTGCTGTCGTGTCGCTTCGAAGTTTCACTGTACCTCATCATAGATTATATTTATTTGCGTTTTCTATTATCTGCGTATGTTATATACATATATTGCAAAGAGGTCACATAATTAAGGTCTTTTTGTATTGTATATTATATATATATATTAGATTGATCGCACAGAAGGGGTTTGCCCGTTTTGTTTTTCTATTCATTGATGAAAGATTCTTGTACGCGAAAAAGGGAACCTACGGATTTTACGATTGATTTAGCGATGAATATAAGTCCACTGTGTTGTCGCAATGATACTTTTATACTCAACGAGAAATTTTTGTTACAGTCTTCCGGACACGAAGAAAAATGTGGCGGAATCGACGACTACCCCGAAGACACTGGAACTGGCGAAAATGCCAAACTACACGATGGTTGATGACTTGGTTTGTCCACCAGGTCGCCAGAACAGACCACCAAAGATAGCAATTATTCTTCGAGGACCACCTGGCAGTGGCAAATCTTTTGTGGCCAAACTTATCAAGGTAATATTGCAGTTAATTAATTATTGATTTTTACTCCAGTTATACTCGAGTAACCTCGTATAAGTTATTGCCAACATTGCCTAATTATACGCACTCATTATTTTATAAAACTTAGAATGTGGAAGAATGTAAGAAGTATTAGTTTGAAAAACATTTATATACGTGATTGACGTTTTAGGAGGAACCTTTAAGTTTGTATACTAATTCTTTCCGCATAACTTATTTAATAGGTTACAACTCTTTATTTTGCAGGATAAAGAAGTTGAACAAGGAGGCTCTGCACCTAGGATATTGAGTCTGGATGATTATTTCCTTGTTGAGAAAGAAGTAGAGACAAAGGACGATAATGGGAAGAAGATGATAATTAAAGTAATTATATTAAAATTCTTTACTAGAATATTTATTATATTAAATTTTTTTCTAATGGATTAGTATTTTTAACGTTGTATATTGATTCGCATAGGAAATGGTGTATGAATACGAAGAAGCAATGGAACAGAGTTATATAATGTCGCTCGTCAAAGCATTCAAGAAAAACATTCTTGACGGATTCTTCAATTTTATCATACTGGATTGTATCAACGAGAGGATTTCAGATTATGAAGAGATGTGGAGTTTTGCCAAGACGAAGGGTTTCAAAGTATGTTACCGTTTAATAATATAATGTCCCGAGGAAGAACTTCAAAGAATGTCTTTTTATCGTTATAAGATTTCTGGATTGATCTTTTGAATTGAAATCTATTTTATTTAAATATATTTTTATCCGAAAAAAATTATCTAACTGATCAAGATTCCTGGTCCTCTGCCGCGAAATTTTTTATTTATGACATCTGAGGGCGAGAAAATACACACTAAAAAAATACTTGTAAAATACGTTGAAATAAAGATATCTATAAAATAGCACTGACAGGCACATCTATAAAATAATCCAAACATCTTGTATTCTCCATATAGTAATTACTCTGTATGGAATATAAAATTTCTTTTACTCTAATAATTAATAAATTGCCGTAAAATTAACGTGAAATGTAACTTCCCTTTTTAACAAATATTTTTTCATGGTCCTATCACTTTAATTCTATGGTTATTTATTTATTGATTATTAAAGTAAAAGGAAAGTATTGGGACTATTTTACAGATCTGCTTGATCGATTGCAAGTGTCATTTTGTGAATCATTTTATTTCAATATATTTTGCAAGAATCTTTTAACGTGTATTTTTTGCTCTTTTGATGATCATAAATCAAGATACGAGGAAACAGGAATCTTATGTCCTTTTGTTATGGAATGCTATGATAGTGACGGTTCGCGAACCTTTTTTTCGTACATTTATTTCTCTATTACGATAACAACGAAAACAAAATATCATCGTGGTATAGAAATTCGCCCTATATCTGTATGCATAACTAGAAGAATACGCATAACTTAACAAAACAACAGACGTAAGCTCTCACGTGCAATCATTGCTTTTTAACCATTTCCGCCGTGATAAAAAAGTTAATCGCTTAAAAAAAAGTTTTCGGCTAAGTTTTCAAAATAGAAAATCGACTTTAATTTATTCTCTCGAATATTCTGTGATAGATTCGAGATATCGAGTTACGATTTGTATACACACAGAGAGAGGGAGAAATTTGCAAAAAAAGTTTTCATACTTTTTTCTAATGAAATTGTAGTATTTCAAATTGTTACACTTGCGAGTCACTCTTTCTTTTTTTTCTCTCTCTCTCTCTCTCTCTCTCTCTCTGTTAACGAATTTGCGTGTAATTGACCAATAACAGAAGACAGCCAATCACTGCGTAAATTTATCCATAGAAGTTCACAATTATGATAACCTTGAGCGCTGCAACTTTATTGGAAAATAAATGTGAAAACTATTTTGCAACTGAGTTTTCACAAATCGGCATAATAATCTCAACATGCAGTATAATAGATTATTAATATTTCCTGACTGTACATATTTTTTCCGGATATTAATACCGGATGTTAAACTGTCACAACAGATTACTCTTCTCTAACATATCGTTCTCGCTTCTTTGAATAATTGAAAAATAATAATTTAGCAATACGTACAATATTCTAGTAATTGTATAACAACTAACTTAAGAACTATTATGTCAGTCTATATATAAAAACAACCTTTCTTCAATTGATATCCGTGTATACAGGTATATGTGTGTGAGATGGAGATGGATCTACAGATATGCCTTAAGAGAAACATTCACAATCGCACCGAGGACGAGATTAATCGGATCATAGATTACTTCGAGCCGACACCTAGCTATCACTTGAAACTAGATGTGAATTCTATGTTACAGGAACAAGCGATAGAAGAGGTAATTTTGTTCCATGTAAACGGCTCTCTCTCCTTATTATTGTCGTGCACGTATCGATGCATTTATATAATTTATCATGTATGGTACATGACATATGTTTATATATATATGTATGTATATATATGTGTGTGTGTGTGTGTGTGTGTGTGTGTGTGTGCGTGCGCGCGCGCGCGCGCGCGCGTGTGTGTACACACACACACAACATATATAATTCTATTTTTATTTCAGGTTGATATGGAAGATAGTCAGCAGGAGATACAAGAGATATCAACCACGCAAAATGAAGATAGTCAAGACAGTCACGAGGATACTCAGGATGCAATTGTAACTAAGCAAAGTTAACTTATATATGAACGTCGAAATAACAATTTTTACATAAACGAATATATAAGATCTTAGAGTATTTATTCTCTTTCAATGCTTTTTATTGTATATATTGTATGATAAAACAACTTTTTTTTTTTAATTATGATATATCGTTATTGTAAAGTTCCACGTTAATATTTTATTAAAGCAAATTACCTGAAATTGATAAAAGTGTAGTTTTGTATTATTAATAATTATGTTGATGTAAATGATTATCATTGATTGAATTCTTTTAGGGTGTTAGTAAGTGGGAGAAAATGGAAGCTGAAGATAAATTAGGTTAGTTGAAACTGAATCTAACTATATTTTGAGATTTAAAAAGTATATCTTTATTTTTCATTTTTTGATTTTTGTTATATAGATCGATTGGACGGATTAGCGAGAAAGAAGAATGAAGCGAGACCACAAACTATGGAAGATTTCCTTCAAGTACCGGACTACTACAATATGGAGGATACTTCTGGTAAAAAGCGGGTATGTATCTGAATATATCTCTCAGAAACATTAGAAGTATATATTCGTAATTATCTTTTTGGTATCTATTAAAAATATCGTTTTTAAAAATCTTTTAAAAATCTTGGATTTATATTACTCTTGGAGTGAAAAAGATTGGCGAGAAAGATTATACATCGATTGTTCTGTTTTATAGGTACGATGGGCCGATTTGGAGGAACGCAAGGAGCAGGAGAAAATGCGCGCTGTCGGTTTCGTCGTTGGTCACACCAATTGGGATCGCATGATGGATCCTACGAAAGGCGGAAGTGCCTTAACGCGCACAAAGTATATATGACCTATTTCTAGAGTTTGTAAACAACAATAGTAGTCATTTATAATCTTATACAATTGCCGTTGAAATTTATACATTTAGCGACTAAATTGTTTATTTACTGTTTAACTTTGTCTTTATATTATTCGTATTAAAAATTTATATTATTCGTATTAAAAAGCGAAAAAAATTAGTGTAAAGCGAATAAAACTATATAATATAAATGTTGATATGTGAAATACATTAATTATGTAATTGTTATTATTACAGATTTTTCTCGCCGTTGTAAAACATGATCTTACCAAGAAAGAGTGTATTCCGTTGAAAAGAAGCAAAAAAAAATTAAATATAAATATAAATATATATATATATATATATATATATATATATATATATATATAACGGTTGAATAAATTTATTGTATTTTATAAAATTAGAGTGATTATTTAAAAGCACTATATCTTTAGTTTGACTTGTAAGGGAGTCTTGTATATAGATAGCCATTTGTGCTCGTAAATATAAGATTTTGTATAGTAAAAAACTTGTAATTGCATATGTATACGTATGTGTATAAATTGTGTGGTTCGTTATATGAAATTAATTTCTTTAATTATAAAAAATCATTTTCAAAGTATATTCCTTTGTATTACGTTTGCTACCGTGATATATTTGGGGAACTTATAGACTGTATTGTTTGTTTTTGTCGGAATCGTTGAGATTATTGCGTGTTGCTCGATCGTCAAGTTAAGCAACGTTTTAGCGCGGTCGGGAATGGATGATACCAATTGGTTTTGCCGACTTAAGACAGAAGCTAATATATTTGTATCGCGTAAATTCGCACAAAAGATTTTCTAATTTGGCGGTACTATTTTCTTATTTTCTGTTTTTGATAATGATGTTCCTTGTAATTATGTAAATATGGATAAAAAAATAAAACTTTTTACGTTTATCTGAATATTTCTTATACATTCTATGAATATTTCAGAATGTTTCGGAATATTCTTAAAATGTTAGTTTTGGATTTTAGGAACATTTTATAAATATTTCAGGAATATCTAGCGTTTATTGAGTATAGATAAAAGATGGGATTTTTTGGAAGTGCACTGAAGTGGACAGTGACTATTTTGATTGATAAAGTAAATTTTAAGTTTGTCAAATCAAAATCTAAAGATTTTCTCATATTTAAAGTTAAAATTTAACAACGGCCATTTCATTTGCACCAGCCTAATACTTTGCACTTTTTCATTTTTCTGAGATATTTTGTTAGGATTATAGTAATAAATGTATAGTAAGAACTCACTCTATGTATTCTTGATATTTCTCTGTGTATTCTTGATATTTATCTTGATTTAAGCCACTTTAAGGTTAAATTCAATGGATTTTATAAAATACTATACATAAAATACATATTAAAAAACCTTCTTTATCATATATTTATTATTTACACTACTCTATCACTTTAAAAATAAAGAAAACATACATTTGTAGAATATTCATAATATTTTTTATGTTATTGCGTACTATTTATAACTTTGAAAATATAAACGATCTCTCATACATCAATCGAAAATTACCATTTTAATTCGATTGCTTAAATATTTATTAAACTGCGAAAACAATATTCTTATGTATTAACAATATTCTTTATTTAATATTCTTTCTCATTGTTAATTGTCAATTCTCTTAAACATCTCTATAACCTTTGTTGAGAAAAATATCAAAAGAATATTATAAAATGTTTTTGTCATTGTTTTAAGTAGAAAAATGATTTAATTACCAAATGTATATGTAATATTCAAAATGTTTAGATATAGAATAAATGTCTCATATCTTTAAAATACCAAGAAAAGAAACATATACATGTTGATAATAGATGTATATTACTTAATCTCAAATAATTAAAGTAATTAAAAAAATATAATCATTGACAATCTCGTCAAAACTGTACAGAGTTGTAATAGTTTCATAATAAAATCAACAAGAAATATAACATTTCTCCAGTTTATAATTGAACTGAGATGTCTATTATAGTCTTTGTAGGGGTTTGTAGTAATCTGTGATTTTTTTATCTTTTTGGTTTCATTTTATCCGTATATTTTGTCCGGCGTATGGGCAAAACGATATTAAGGTTGCGTTCCGAAATTCACTGCCAGTACTGAAAATCAATAGTTCATGTTACGTATACTATAGAATTTCAACATTGGCAGTGAATTTCGGAACACAGTCTAAAAAGATAAATCTGATTTGATGTCAAGATTAGTACTTCGATATACAGCGTTTTTTTCTCGATTTTTCGTTAGAAGAAATATCTACATCAGAAGAATTCGGCTCGGTTGCGTCTTCGATAGGACGTAATAATCTCTCTCGTACCGTGATAGTACTAATTTCCTTAAGATTCACTGAAAAATAAAATAGAATTCATTACAACATATCCACAGAAATATTTCTGCTACATTTCTGAGCTATTATGTAGAAACGTTTCTGAGTGAGGACATTAAACATATATGTTACGTTTACTATTTGCACAGTGGGCCTTTGAGTAATTAAATAAAAAAAAAGATACGTTGTGCAAAGTACGTAAAAAATCGCGTAGATATTCTCCGCGAAAGAAAATTTATATAGCAATTTGGTTAATTTTGTATTTTTAGCTTTGCGTATTAGACAAATATATTTAGATATTTCTCTCTCTACCTTCCTAGAACAATAAAATGTTTGCTTTAATTTGAAGTTACATGCTTGTTTTTAATAAACGTCATTTTATTGTTACAATAAATTCTTATTCTTAATTATAAATTTTTATCTTATCTTGAATTCTAATAAATTTTTATAAGAAAATCTGTCTTCACAAAGTACAAACCTATCTTGTAAGGTTTCTGTCGTTTGCCAGTGGCGAAGATGCAAGATACGGTATTCACTTTGTTATGCACTGCTCGGAATTTACTTTTGCCGAATCTGATTGTTTTATCTTTTAGAATCAACAGTTGACCTTGCAAGTTGTTTTGCAATATCTACGGGAAATAATTTTACAGAAAATTACTCATGAATTAACTTAAATACGCAGAATACTTTAACTCTATTAATTAATCAGTCGATAATTAATAAGTAAATATGGTCATACTTTGTCAGGAATATTCAAAATAAAGGCTTCCTCATCCTCGGAAATATCCGCCAATGTTAAACTCGCTGGTAGCGTTTCCATAAGTAATTCTTCGTCCTCAACTAGTTCTTCTAACTGAAAAGACAAATCGATTAATCGTGAAATTCCTCTTATATAGCACAAACTTGAAACATTATTTTTTAAAAGTAACTCGTTATCAATTAAAAAAAGTGAAGCGTTACCGTTGCTTATTTTGTAAAATATTAGATTGATTAAAAAATATTTTTTCATAAATTTTCTCACTAAACAAACACATAGTTGGTATAAATAACACATATTTAAATTTACTTAAAAATATTTTTTATTCATTTAAAGCAGTTTTTAATAGAAGTATGCTGACAAATGAAATGTATATTCTATAAAAAAAGATATGCTAATCAATCTAATAACTTGTTAGCGTTACTTAAGTAGTAACGAGTCGTTATAATTCCCGTTACTATTTTCACCAAGCTTTGAAGATCTTTTTGACGATTCCTATCTGATATACTACATGTATTCGAACATGCATAAAATAATGACAAAAATAACGATTACTATTTGTTACCACTATTTAAAAACTTAATTTTGATAATGCAATTACATTTACGTTATTGAAATTAATTTAAATTGCATTACCAATGAAAGAGAAAATAACACAGTGGTGAAAATCATTGAAAAAGTGTAATGATGAGGACGTTACAATTCAGGCAGCATAAATGTCTAAAATATTGTGTTGTGTAAGTTTGGACTTTTTAGATAAAATAATATCCTCATGCCGTTTTTGTGAAACAATGTATAACAGATCACAGATTAACCCCTTAACTGTGATGACGTATATACACGCATGAAAGAGTCGTGCCACCATGGCACGACCCAACATGGTGGGTCAAAATTTTGAAAATACTCGGATTTTCATGAAAGTGGGTATCTATATGTTTTTAGGGTTGCTGAATTCGAATTTGATATCAAAATTTCAAAATTCCAAATAGTGGAATAAAAAATTTTTAAGTAAAAAAAACATTTACATAATATCGTTTTCTGCCGAATCCGGAGTTATGAAACGAGGACGTAGCGGTTTTTGACTCTATTTTTATATATTTCTTTTGTTTGTATAATTTTTAATTTTTTTGTTTTTCTGTTTTTTGTTCAGGCAAAATGTCTGAACACATCCACTTTCATGAAAATCCGATTATTTTCAAAATTTAGATCCGCCATATTCGCCCCATTTTGGATTTTTAAATTTTGATATCAAATTTGGGTTCAGTGATCCCAAAAACATAAATATCGACTTTCATGAAAATCCGATTATTTTCAACATTTTGATCCGCCATTTTGATTTTCGAAATTTTTATGTCAAATTCAGATTAAGCAACCCCAAAAACTTTTATAATAATGTCATAAAGAAAATTCGACATTTTTTTCCAACACAAAAATGGCATTAGTCCATTTCTGCCTCCACGTCAAGGAGTTAAAACAAAACACATATTGTTTCATAAAATTATAATTATTTAAAAACATTTTATTTCTTTACAATTATTTATTATGAATAAAGAATAAAAAAATATGAAGACACAAATAACTCTTATTATTTTTTTTCATTAGTAACGCCGTTAACTAATGTAACTTAAAGTTAATTGAAATTAATTTTTTATTTTAAGCTTCACTTTATTCAAGAAATCCAAAAAAAAAAAAAAAAAAAAATTATATATATATATATATATTTACAGGACCCAACAAATTCCTTGAAGATATCTAAAAGATGTCTAAAGCAGGTAGGATATCTTTTTTTATACATTTATGCTACTTTAGGAGTTTAGATGTTACTTTTCCCAAACCTACTTCCAACTTTGCCAAGTGGTCTTTTCTTTTCAGCTGCACTGCTAGTGCAATAAGTTAGAGTGAGAAAACATATATTTGTCTCACTTTAACTTATTGCATCAGTTCAGCAATGCAGCTGAAAAGAATAGACCAAAGTTGACAATTAGAGTATCACTTACATTGCACGGTCTGTAACGCACGTCTTTCTGGCGTTGGTCATCCTCATTGTCCATGTTACTATCGTTCGGTGAAGCAGGGTTGTTATGCCTTTTCCCAGAGGTGCAAATTCTCTCGTCATTTCCGGGTCTTTCTTCGTTGCTTACGTTATCCTTGTCATGTGAAACATCTACGCTATTTTCTTCGGAAATGTGACTCCTCTGATCGTCCTCAACCCTTTCCCGCTGCTTCGCGTCGCTCTTCTCCGAAACGTTACTCCCCTCGTCGTTCTCAAGCTCTGCGTGAACATCTTGGCGAGTGTCATCGCGGCGCAAAGCAGCAGTATCCATTTCTTCCGGAACGTCGTTTTGACTCGTTGTGTCTTCCGTATTCGAGTGACTCATATTGGAATTGCCGGTGTGACCCTCGGAGTCACGATCAATGATCGAACGATATTCGTTCTCGTTTTCGCTATCGCTAGAATCGCTGTCCACAATCAGATTCAATTGCTGAAGTCGTTTCTCCGTTCGCGGCGACACGCAGCGAGCTATGTTAGCGTGATCCTCCTCATCTTCTTCGTGCTCCGTCTCCTGAGCGACTGATATCTCGTTGATCTCCCTGATAGACGTATCATCGATATCGTCGATATCGTCGATATCGTCGTTAATGGTACTTGGACAACTCGTCGACGTGTAGTGCTTGCTGGAATTGCACTCTGCATCTTCGCGCGCGACGTTAACGTCGTCATCCCTCTTGCACACTATTTTGTATCTTTTATTTACGATCTCGGTGGACGTAACTTTAGGCTGTATTTGCTTTTTCTGGACATTGCACGGGTCTTCCAATGTTTTGACCTCGCAGCTTAACTTCGCATCTTCCTCTTCAGTCTGGTTTAATTCAGGAGTATCAGTCTCTGGTTCCTTCGTCTCTGCATCATCAGCAGTGTCCTGTTCCTTGAAAGTCATGTCGTCGACTTTCAGATTTGTCTCTTTGATGTAATCCTCCCGCACCTCTTCAGTCACTTCGTTAGTCTTCGCAGGCTCAGATGAAACAGAGACTTTCTCCACGATTTTTGTCACGTTATTTTGATTTTCTTTGTTGGCTTCATTTCTTTGTTTCATGAATTTATCTTGTGAATCTTCGTCAATCCCAGAATCTTTTTCCTGGTCATGCGAAGCATTCAGCGACGATACCTGAGTGCAGTCGACGGTGTCCAACATCAATGTTAAATTCCTCTTGGCATTGTTGATTAATGCGGAGGATTTGGAACTCACAAGGCCGTCGTCGCAATTATTTGCATTTATCGAGCTCTTTTCTTCCACTTTTATTAGTTCTTCGCAACTACGATCTTTCGATACGCTCGACTGTGATCTCTTACTGATAGATGAAGGTGAATCGTTGATAGGTGAAGATTGGATATTTAAAGTAGCCAATTTGGATTCATGCATTTCGTCGTTCGAACTAATCTGTAAACTCAATGAATAATTCGACTTATCCATCATTTTTTCATCAGTAACAAATTCTTTTTGCATTGCATCGTTTTCTATGTTTATTATTACTTCTCTTTGCATCGTATCATTTTCTCTGTTTATTATTATTTCTTCCTTAGGATCTGTCTCACAAAGTACAGCAGTGATTGGAACATTCAACTCAAAATTGGTTTCTCTCACCACTATAGAATCTTCATGGTTTTGCGTTGTATTATGAAGTATATTATTTTGAGAATCTGATCCAGAGTTTGATGGAGAATCTGTTTCAGGTATCACAGAAATCGTATTGCTATGATTCTGTGGTGCATCTTTATTTGCAGACTTTGTTGTACAGGATATCATGTCATCTTGAGACTCTAATTTTGGGGAGAGAGACCTCTTGTTAGAAATAGTTTTTGAACCATCACATTCATCACTTTGAAAAACATTCTGTTTGCTATCATTCAAAATATCTATGTGCTGTTTATTATCAAACACAAGTGTCGTACTTCTGTTCTTCTTCTTTACAATTTCTTGCCAGCCTATGTTCACAGATTTCTTGGACTTTTTCTCCACAGGCTTAACTGTGTTATTCTTTTTTGTCTTGCATATCATCTGACTCTCTTTTTCATAATCATTCTCATCACTAGTAAATAGTGCTTGGGAGGTAAAATGCTGTTCTATATTTATAGATTCTTTAGTGCTTTTCTCTACAGGTTTAACTTTACTATTCTCCTTTGTCTTCCGTATTGTCTGACTTTCCTTCACATCATCATTCTCATCACTAGTATATAATCCTTGAGAGACAAAATCTTTTTGCCTTATATTCAAAGATTTTTTTGTGTTGTTCTCCACAGTTTTTGTTTTACTATTCTTCTTTGTCGTCCTCATTGCTTCACTTTTCTCATCGTCACCATCATCCTTATTATCAAAAAAGTATGCTTGGGAGATATAATTGTCCTGTTGTCTTATATCTACAGATTTCTTGAGTTGTTTTCTTACAGATTTCTTGGTTCTTTTTTCTACTGACTTGGTTGAACTATTTATCTTCATCCTCTTTATGGTTTGATCCATCTCATCTTCATCACTAGTCAAACTAAAAGTTTTTTTAATTCTGGAGTAATTCTTAATTCTGTACTGTTTTAGTTTGGAATTTGAGTTGTGTATAATGCTATAATCAACATCACTAAGATAATCAGTGTCATCAGTATCATAGTCGACTGGTACTTTATGTGTAACATGGGTTTTCAATGTCTTATACACATTGTAATTTTTAATAATGCCGCGTTTCTTTATTTCAGCATTCATTAATTTTGTTCTTTTACGTATTTTCTGTGATGGGGTGAATTTGTGTATCAATGAGTTGTCGATCATTCTATGTGCAACGGTGTTGCGGACAACTTCCCATGTGATTTTCTCGTGAGAACACATGATGCCTGTTTATTTGTCGGGCTAAATAATGAAAAATAATGAAACTGATGAAAACAAGCGTCTTTGCATATTGTGTTTTATGCTAAGATAAACACAGATAAATCTAACTTAACCTTACTTACCACACGTGTTTTTACGTTTAGCGGTAAGCGATGTTAACGTCTGTGGTTTTTTGTCTCTTTAAAATATTTAAAAATCCAATTAATCCTTATTTTAGTAAATCTTCACTACACGTTAAAATCTTCTGAACTACTAAACATTTAACTCCTGCGTGTGATATCCACTAAAATATAATGTTTGTTTTTCGTTCCTGGGTACCTATTAAGGCCCATCTACAACAGTGTTGCCAGATCCGAGTAGAGTAATGGCTTCTGCACACAGGATGCGGTAACGCTTGCCGCGCGACGGAAGTCTGCGCAACAACCAATCAATATGTTGTTTTTCCATAAGAGTTAGAAGGTTATTACGGAAAGCAGCATATTGATTGGCTGTCGTGCGACTTCCGCCGCGCGGCAAGCATTACCGCGTCCTGTATGCAGAAGCCATAATGGTGCGGTCACATGAATGGGGTGGGACCCGATTGTCCACGATACGATTGAACACAGATTGTAATGATTGGTTCGACCTAGTAATTCACTAGGGCCGATGTTCATAGTCGGATCTTATATTTAAGACCGCTTAAGTTTATCTTCAGATGATGTACGGGTTATTTCATTGGCTACGGAGTATCTGAAGATGAACTTAAGCAATCTTAAATATAAGATCTGACTATGAATACCGACCTAGATAATTCTTTTCATCGGTTGGTTGTGTCCAATCGTACCGTGGTCAATCGGGACGCTCCCACATGAATGTATGCGCAATACGGAATTGGCGGAATGTAGTGTCACGTCTGATCGACCAGGCTGCCAGCCAGTGATAATTTTTTGTCCAAATAATCCTTTACCTGAGACACTCCAAGTATGAAACCTTTCTTTCCCAAAAGGAAAGCATCGCTACCATTCAGACCTCCTCCTAAAGGCGGGATCACAAAAGCTCAGTAGCAGTAGAGTAGTGACCGGCGTAGCAGTCAGTCAAGGGACGTCTACATTGGAAGTAAATAGCAAGAAGTAGGAAGTAAGAGTAAGAAATTGACCAACCACAGTCGAATGTGAGAAGAATAATCAACTATGATTGGTCAATTTCTTATTCTTACTTCCTACTTCTTACTGCTTACTTCCAATGTAGACGTCCCTTCAGAGTCGGGTGCAGGGATTGGAAATCCAAAGATAGTCCTCACCTTCAAATCCCATTTCTTTAATTCACTAATTCTAGACCTTAGTTCCCTCTAATTCTTAAGCAATTAACTTTAGGTTATCTTTAACATTTTTAAACATTTACGAGCGTTTTATTCTAATGCATAATTCTTTAGTTTGTTAAACAGTTCATTTTAGTTATTTCGTCACTTCCGTTACTCTAGCCATACTTAAGATATCTTTGTGAGCATATTATACCAAAAATTATACAATACACATTATATATATATTATCTGTAGAAATTCTATTTCTACTCCCTCCCATTTGAACATTTTTACACGGCACATTTCCTCCTACGCCTAAGCGAAACCGCGACATGCTGTGTTACTCCCTAGTGCCCATCGGTCAATGGGTGTATATCAGTTGGACACAGTCCAATTACAAGTCGCTGTTCCAAGGGACCCTACAAATGTCTCTAATCACACGGTGCTGTGATTGGCTGTGTCCAAATGCACCGTGTCCAAGTGCACCGCTCCCTCTATGGTCCTCTTCCAACATAATGGCTCCTGCACACAGGACGCGGTAATGCTTGCCGCGCGGCGAAAGTTCACATGACAGCCAATTAATATGCTGCTTTCCGTAATAATCTTCTAGCATAAGATATCCATAAGATCGGATTTCCATGTTTAGAAATGCACCAATCAGAACAGAGTATTTCCATCCAGCAAGCAAGCCAGCACGAAAACAAGCATCGTGTACCGCTGGCTTTATACTGAAAATGTCTACCGAAAGCACAATCGACGAGAAATGCTATACCGTTGACTCAGGTAAAAGACAAAAATGCTATATTCAATCGAATTACGTATTAATTACATCATCCTAATCAAGTCGATTTGTTTAGCGTCTGTCATAAAAGCGGAGTCAGATGAAAATATCGAGAATGTCAAAAATGCACCGAGTTTCACCGAAATACTTACTGCAGACTTGAAGATGTTAAGAAATATTTTGTTACTTCTACCTAATGAACGTCCGGAAGAAATAATGGAAATAATAAAAGAACGCTTAGATCAACATTATTATAGAATAACTAATTCGGAAAATCCAGAATTGAATGACGTTATAATTCTTGCTGAATCTTTTGTCAGCGTATATCATATAAATATTATGCAATGTGAAATAACAGAAAAATATTTGTATTTAAACGAATTTTTGCTTACACGAAGTTTGATATTGTTAAAGGACAAAGAACTGGATAGAAAAGCTATTATTATAGCAATGGAGACATTTAACGAATTGAGTCACACTTATAGTCAACAAAAAGACCTGATGAAATCTTTACAATATTTAAATAAAGCAATGGATTTGTATAACACATATACGAAAGGACAGGATGACTTTCCTATCCCTATCAGTATTCTATACGTTGTGGACAATGAAAAATATTCAAATACTCTAAATTTACTGAACAAACAGTATATGTGTACCTTAATATCTTTAATAATGTTAAGTGACAAAGTCAAACACGAACTAGATCTAGAGAAAATTATGATGTATATACATAAGTTACTAAGGAAGCAGTCAGGTAGTGAAGTCAGTACATATAGGTATAGTAATATAGAATGGATCATAGATGCAGTAAAATTAGCTCAATATTTTTTATCGCATAATCGTTTCAGTGAATGTAAAACCTATCTTAGCATTGCGTGTATTTTGATGCGGTCATGTTTTACCCACTATTACTCCGAACTAATTGTACACCTGTCTTGTGAAAAGATGGGTTTTGTTTATATGTTCTATAAATCCACCATGTCTTGTATTCTTACGTGTTGGGTGCAATATGGACTCATCCTTTTGTACTCATCGAGCAAACAAATGCTAAAAATAAAGAATAGAGATAATCTTTCTAAAGTAAATAATTTTAGGCCGAAAACTGCAATAAAGTCTGTTAAAGATTTAACATATACATTAATATCTCCGGTCGCAGAACAAATAAGTGAAGAAATTATCTATATAGCCGAAGATAATTACATTACAAACTACAATGATGCTAAAAGAATTTTTGTTCGTATCCTTGAATTGCTCAGTTATCAAAAAGTGGACAAATTAATTTCTGATAAGATAGCATCTCGTGTAGAAATTGCACAATATATTTCTAGAGCGTACAAATATTTAGCATTTTATGAACACGACAAAATCAAGCAGTTGAAACTACAAAAACGGCGAATAGAAACTTTAGAAGATTGTTTAAAAACGTTAGAGGTAGAAAAAGATCGAATTTACTGTATTTTTGTATATTTTGAGCTAGCAGTTATTAATTCCACTCTGTTGCAAATGAAGATCGAAAGTTTAGATGAAGATAAATTAATTGCAGAAGAACTATCAGAAATTGATCAATTAGTAAAAAACAGTGTGAAGTATTTCCAGTTATATATAGCGAATTATAACAATGTACAGTTTGCACTGGCAAATAAGATGGTTGATGAAAGGTATATAGTTATTTCTAACTTAAATATAAAAAATGCCTTAAGATATATAATATTTTAGAACCCGTTTTCTCAGACTGTTATGTATAGTTATGTATAGACTGGTATTTAAAAAGAATTGAAAAATGTAGGTATATTTTCCAGGTCAATGAAAATATTTCTAAGTTAAGATAATTTTTATTTAAAAGAATCTTTATATCATATTTTTTATATACTTATTTACGTATTTATATATAATATATTTTATTATGTGCATGCGTACGAGTAACATTGCATAATATCCATATATATACACACACAGAGTGGCTCCCACAATCTTTACAGCTCCATATTTCAAAGATTAAGAGAGATGTAAAAAAGTATTTTCAATAGTTGTAGGATATCGAGAGAGAAAACGGACAGAGTAACATTTATTTAAATTCTTAAAATATTTAAATTCTTAAATCGTGAAAAATTCTGATCAAAGTGAACTTTTAATGATATATGATTTTAATTATATGGTTATTTTTTGATATAAATTAATTCCTCAAGTCATTTTATATACATAAGTGCTAGAGTAAAATCATCAGAAAGTGAATCTTCTGATATTTTATGTTTTATCCTGTTCAGTACGAGATATGTAATATTTTATAAACTATTTACTTTTCGAACATTCTATTTTAATACTTTCTTTTTCGTACGTAGAATGATTGTTAAAATCGATTATTGTAAAAAATATACAGAGACTAAATAAGATTCCGTGCATTTTACAAATTTATTGATGCATCGGTTTGCAAATATTAGTAACACCGATTGATTTCCCTCCTTATTCGTACAAGAGTATTAAGATGAGATGATTGAAAGTAAATAGTTTAAGAGATATTTTATATTTTATATTGAAAAAAAGGACAGAATGTAAAATATACCTTGGGAAGCGTTCATTTTTCGATAATTTTATCCTAGCACTTTTGTACGCAAAATGTGATCAGAGAAATCAATTCATGTCGAAAAAATGTAAATTCATTTAAAATGTAACGTTGATCTTGATAGAGTTTTTTAAAGTTATTCCAAGGTCAAATAAATGTTACTATCTTTTTTCCCTCTCGATATTTTACAACTTTTGTTACAGATACTTTATTATATCTCTCTTAATTTCTAAGATATTAAACTGCAAATAACTATATGGGCTATCTTTTATATATATATATATATATGTGTGTGTGTGTGTGTGTGTGTGTGTGTGTGTGTGTGTGT